CATGGATGAGACAGGACTGCAGCTAGACTTTAAAGCGCACAAAATAGTTGCTGCAAAAGGTACAAAATATTTACATATGAGAACAAGTGGAAATCGAGAAATGATTACTTTAATTGTTTGTGTGAATGCAGCAGGAAGAGCCTTACCACCTCATGTGATTCCAAATGGAAAGACAGTAAAATCCCTTCAAAGTTTTCAAGTTCTAGATGCCCCTGAAGGAACCAACTGGAGTCCAAGTGAATCTGGATGGACTAAACAAGGGATTGCAAAACTATGGTTTGAGCTTACATTTTTAAAAAACATTGAACCACAACGTCCACAAGTTTTAATTTTAGATGGCCACGATTCCCATAATTTCGTAGAGTTAATAGATATGGCCATACAAAACCGAATTGAAATTGTTGAATTACCTGCTCAAACAAGCAATTGGCTTCAACCTTGTGATCGAACTGTATTTAAGCCATTCAAAGTTTCATATAATAAAGCAGCCCAGGATATGATGTCTAATCACCCTGGGGTTATAATAAACAAGGCCAATTTTACAGGACTATTAACCAAAGCCTGGAATAAAAGTATGACAAAAGCTAATATTGAATCTGGCTTTAAATCATGTGGAATCTTTCCATATAATCCCTCAATTATTCCAGCTGAAGCTTACTTGCCAAACTATGTGTATTCTGAAGACAGGTTAATGACTAATCTCTTTGATCAAATTAAAACAGTTGATAATACAACAATAGTTAAGCAGATTAAGCAAACAACAGACAGCACAAAAGTACTTTTACCAGATATTGAGTTGGAACAACATCTAATTACCAACCCAAGATTTGCTGTAGCAAATGATCACGACTATTTAGCTGAACCAATAACCGTAGTAGAACTTAGGAGTGATGATTTAGTGGAACTAAATATGAAAACTATAGAACTAAAAGCTGCAAGTAATAAAGCTACTAGTAAGTTTCAAGACAGCTTTAGGATTATGTCTTACTCTGAAATTGAACAGCCTATTGATCAGCATGAAGTTGATTTTACAGTTTCAACTCTTTTAGCTTCTGATTTTGCAAAAACTAGATCTTTTGCCCCAAATTTCCCCTTTAAAAATTCATCTTATCCAGGAGATGGAGATAATGACATTTTGCCATATTCTTATCCAAATTTTACAAAGAGCAAAAAAGCTAAAAATGCAGACAAGTTTTTTGTGCTTACTTCTAAGGAAGCATATGAGTCACAGTTAAAGCAGAAGCAAAAACAAGCTCAAAATGAAAAGGAAAAAGAAATGCGATTACTTTTTGTAATCGTTGTTTTATCAAACATTTTTTATTTATAATAATTGCTGTAATTATATCCTAAATGCTGAAAGATTTATCTTTCTAGAAATGTATAATTTTCATATAGACCTCTTTGTTAATATGTCTGTAGAAACAATTTTGTAAAGATGCGGCTGGAATTTGGTCACTTTACCCTATAGAATCCGCTATCCAGTTATATTTTGAGATCAGTGGACCATATCTAAATCAAAATTTCCGAAAAGTAATATTTCCTCTACGGTCCGAATTAAAACTAATTTTGAGACCATATCTAAATTGAAATTTCCGAAAAGTAAAGTTTTCTCTACGGTCCGAATTAAATGAAATTAAAGTCTAACCAACCAGGTCTTAAGTAAATTTAATAATAGATTTGTTTTTCTACAACCTGACTTTCCTACAATAAGTCCTTTTATACTGCTTGGTAATAACTCATTATTATGACGATTATTTTTGCTTACATTATATGACAAATCTAATACTTCCATTTTATATATATAAAGAATTTTTTTATATCGTTTTCAGAGATTTATAATTAAAATGTAATAAAAAAATAGTAAGTAAATAAAAATGTACTGTCTTAAATGTAAAAGTAAAACAGATACACTAAACTTACAACATGCTGTAAGTAAAAACAATAGAAAGATGCTACGTGGAAATTGTGCTAATTGTGGTATAACAAAAACTCAATTTACAAAAGGAACTAAAGGAGGGGATTTAGTAGAATCACTTAACTCATTTACAAAGAATAAAAAATTACCATGGGCAAAATTTCCAGGCGAAATACATTTACCTGGTATAAATTTTGCAGGACCTGGTACTGACTTAGATGCAAGATTAATTTCTACTGATGCATATAAAGAATGGAGTAAGCCTGTAGATCGAGTTGATAATGCAGCTTATATTCATGATCTCGTTTATAAGCATTTTACAGATAAATAACATAGAAATTTAGCTGATAAACAAATGATTGAACAAATGAATGCTATACAAGATCCAACACCACGTGAAAAATTAGAAAGAAAGATTATATAACCTATCATATCTGCTAAAGCAAAGTTTAGGCGTTAAGTCAAAAAACTGCAAGCGATCAGCAAAAAAAGCAAAAACCTGATGAACTTGCAAACGAACTTCATAAGCCTGTTGTAAAACATTTTAGAAAAAGAAAAGTAATTTCAAATGGGATTGATGACATATGGGCTGGTGATTTAGTTGACATGCAAGCTTTTTCTAAATTCAATGACGGTGTAAAATACTTATTGATGGTGATAGATGTATTTTCAAAGTACGGATGGATTGTTCCATTGAACACTAAAACTGGAACTGAAGTTGCTCATGCTTTCAGTAAAATATTTAAAGATAGAAAGTGTACAAAATTATGGGTAGATAAAGGCATGGAATTTTATAACAAGCATGTTAAAGCATTAGGAGTGCAGCTCTATTCGACTGAAAATGAAGAAAAAAGCTGTGTAGTTGAACGTTGGAGTAGAAAAATGAAAGAGAAAATGTTCAAGTACTTCTCTGCTAACTCTACTAGAAAATACATTAATGTTTTAGATGAAATAGTGAATATATACAACAACACAAAGCATTCTTTAATTAAAATTACTCCAGCTGAAGCAAGCAATGAAAGTAATGAGAATATAGTATTTCTAAACCTAAATGGTAAAGTGAGATCAAATCCTATTAAACCCAAGTTTTCAATAGGTGATAAAGTGAGAATAACTAAAAAGAAAGGATCATTTGAAAAAGGATACACATCAAGATGGACTGAAGAGGTATTTACAGTATCACAGATTCAGTACACGGATCCACCAACTTATAAAATAACTGATCATAATAGTGAAAAAATACAAGATAATTTTTATGAACAAGAACTACAAAAAACAAATCAAGAGATATTTAGAATTGAATAGGTTATTCGTAAACAAGGTAACAAATCATTAGTAAACTGGTATGGATATCCTAATACTTTTAACTCATGGGTTGATAATAAAGAATTGAAAAATCTTTAAATAATTATCTTGTATTTATAAAAATGCAAAACTCCAATGTAAATGTGAATATATGCGTATCAGCTACTTCTGGTAATGCTAATACAAATACCACTGTAACGACGACTACTTCATCTTGTAGCAAATGATGTGTATAATGTAAGAAAAAATATATAAAAACATATAATAAATTTTTTTTTGGAAAGTAAGTTAAATAATTTTTCTTGCATATATAAAAAGAATGGAAAACAAAGTTAAGAAAATTAATTCAAATGTTGCAGATATATGCATTAGCGTAAAAAATGCAAATACTACAATTAAATTTAAAAAAGATATTGAACTGGATGAAGATAAAAAGTATAAAATAGTACTTGAAAAAGTAAATTATTATTATCTAGACGATATTTTATGTATAAAAAATAGTATTACATATTTAGATGGTGAAAAACTGACATTGAATATTTAGTTTCACTAGAACGTCGTGATAAAATAATATTACATAGTAATTCTAAACATCCATCAAAATCAAAAAATATTTTACAAATGGATATTACAATAATTGGTAACGATGAAAGACTGATAAAAGAATGATTAAATATTAAATTTGGTATAAGAGAAGTAAAAAATAAATCTAACGTATGCGCACTGACAAGTCACGTGACCGATGACGTCACACAAGAAAATCTGCAACGCCAAGAAACGAAATTAGCACTAATTTGAAAACTGATTTTTAAATTTAAAAAAATTGATTTAAAATTGATTTCTTGATTATTCAATTTATACACACAATGGATGGCATTGCACCTTAAATTTAATTTAATTTATGGTTGAATAGATGGTTGAAAATGAAAATGAGCCAGAACCCGCAGTTTATCTCTACTAATGGCGGTGCAATAAATATCCATACATAATAATTATCCATACATAATAAATATCCATACATAATAAATATCCTTACATAATAAATATCCATACATAATAAACATCCATACATAATAAATATCCGTACATAATAAATATCCATACATAATAAATAAAGTTATTAAAAACTTGATGATCACACAGTGGTCATTTTGGGGGTCAAAACCTGCAGAAAATCTAAAACATTTTTTATGTGTTCAAAAAGAGCCGGTATGAACATATTTGAAGTAAAAATTATAAATAACCCAAAAAATTGGTTTAAAAAATAAAATATTCACTTTTTTAAGTTAGATTTGACACTTTGCAATTAATGCTAGGTTGCAAAAATGAATTATGTGTCTCATTACCTTAAAGATCAAAATGGATTTATTAAATAGAAGAAATTTCACACAAATATCATATCAAACATGATAATGGCAGAAAAAATTTTTACTTAAGCATGAGGAATACCCACAGGGAGATTACCAACCTGCCCATCATGTATGACAGTTTTTAAATGTATTGCTAAAAAAAATTAACACAAATGAGGTTCTAGTTGGTTATACTAGGCACAACATAAGTGCTTACATCAAAGAAAATATTTTTTTACATAGAGTTAAGCATATCAATTTTTTTTGATCTGGTTGAAACTAATAACATTAGATAAATAACAAAATTGGGAATGTATGAGAATTTTTTTAATTTTTATGAGAGGCTTTGGTTGCTTTGTTTGACTTCTTTATTCTTCTTCTGAATCAGAGGCATCTCTAAAAATTTGAAGTTCCGGCATCTTCAAGAGTTTCTAGATGGGTTCAGGCAAGATCTCTGAGTTGTGCTTCTTTTTTTTGCAGTGGACATAAGCCTAAAAATTATATATAACATTTAATGGATGAAAGAAAATATTGCTATCAAAGCTAAATTGGGAAATTCAAATGAAAAAAGGTCCTGTTTCAGAAATCATTTAAATTAAATAAGCATGAAAAAGTATTGAAATTGGAAATATTTTGGATATGCTTAATTCCAAAATTACCTGTATCTTTGCATCACTGATGTCCATCAGTCTCAAGAAAAGGTCAGACATGCCATTGAGCCAGGATGATTTTCGAGCATGATAAAGACGGATTTTTTGAAGAAATTTATTGTTAGCCTCTCCTGGTTCCTCATTGGTCATTCCAATTGGAAGAACACAAGCTTCAATGATTTGTTTTCCATGTTTCAGAACCTTGTGAATTGTTGGGGACAACCAATACCATTTTACATGGTCAAAATAAATCTTCTCAGTCTCTTCACACAGAACTCCAAACTTGTCTGGATCAATGGCATATCCAGATGCAAGGGCAGACCAGAGTGTTCCAAGATTTTCAACCAGTTTGACAGGGACATCACAGATTCTTGCAACAATTTCTAAAAAAGAAAGAAAATATGTAGGAATATACAGATATCAAGATTTGAATTTCTCCAAATTGACAGCAAAGCTATGATGTGATGCTCATGGAACTTGACAAGACATAATATCTAAAAACTAAATTATTTCTGAATGCTTCCCAAAAAGTTTGGTGAAAGTACCAAAACTTGCAAGTGTAGCTACCTGGGTTTTGAAAAGCTTTGCGAGCAACATTTCCTGTTGTTGTAGTGCCAGCACCTCCATCCCGCCTCTGGTCAACAATTAGACCAAGCTGCTCCCGAAATTCTTGCTTGACTCGTGTCTCCCGATTTGCAACCAGTCTTTTTTCATCAGGGCTCATATGAAGATGGAACTTTTTGACATCTTGGCGATATCCAATGTTGCAAATTTTATCAAAACTCCGCTAGCCAAAGTGCAAGATGCTTATTATTTCGAATTTTTACGCTCGCCGACAATTACGATCGCACGCGCACACATGCTTGCGCGAACTTTAAAAGTCAATAAAATAAGCTCCCGCAACTCCCCGCAACAATTTCATGTGTCATTTTAAAGGTCTTTATTTCTTCTTTTCACCTGATTTGGTCCCAATTTGTTGGGATTTGTTGGGAAAAAGTTGCAGCACTGTTTTTGACATGTAGTACACTTTTTTTCTGATGTTTGAAAAAATCATTACTATACATAGCAATATAGTTTTTAAATTTTTTTTTTTTACTTTTCTAATATTTTTTTATATGTATTACTAAAATTATTAAACAAAAATTTGAAAATTTTCACCCATTATTTTCTAAGACCCACTTTAAAAATAGTCATTTTTCAGTAAATTTTTCACTACTTTTTTCCTCCTGTTGTTCTACTCATAGCCAACCTATTTTTACTTCAATTTCTCTTAAACCTCATATTATGGCTCTCCAACTATCCTATTATTTTTGATGAATACCATAAATTTAAAAAATCTTTTCATGACACTTTTGGGATTTTCTGCAGATTTTGACCCCAAAAATGACCACTGTGCACTTGAAAAGTTTTTAAAAGACCTGTAAATTAATTTTTTTGGAGGTAATTTGCAGAAGGTAGTCCTGAGCATTGTAAAAATAAAATCGTGATGGTCATTTACTTTTACCATATGTTATAATGCCTCGAGTCTATAAAAGAACAAGTTTGAAAGCAAAAACTACCAGTAAAGGAAATAAAAGATGCATTACATTTAATCCAAAAAAGAAAAAGTATTTAAGAAATTGCAATAACTTCAAAAATATTGCTACCTCTGCCAACCTTTTCTGGAACAAGTAAACGTCAGCATTGCCATTACAAATTTGAGGTTTTGTTTGACTATATCAATATTTGCTAAATATAATTTTTTTCCCAATATACTATATGCTAATATACTTCTTTCATTGCATATATATATATTTTTTTATTATATAGTAATATTTGGAAATTATCATTTGTCATGACATTTTTTAGTTTTGCTGTCAAAATCAGTTGTTACTGAAAACACTTTTTCTGTTAGTTTATACATTTTGTTTATTTCATTAAATGAGTTTAAAATTGTGTTAAATTTATTGTTAATTATTGCTATTTATGTTACATTATCAATTAATTATGTTATGCTTAATTATAAACTATTTATCATTTGCTTAATTTTCAATAAATTACAAAATATCTAAATTTAGTTTTCTGGTAATCAAAGTTAATGACTCACTTCTACCGTTTGCTTGGTTCACTCCTACCGATGCATGGGTAGGAGTGAACCAGTAGCAACACTTGCGTTATTGTAAGTTATTAAAAATCTGAAGATATTTTGGTATATCATGTAATACTATTAGAAACCTAATACTTTTAGACTACCTTAGGCTCCTTATCCTATATTTTTTCCACTTTTGGTTTCCTTGATATAATCGATTTAAAAAAAAGTGGCTCATTCCCTTATATATAAAATCTTGAAAAAAAGTAAAGAAGTGATTAAACTGGTTTAATAAATTTCAGAATAAATTATAATTTAAATCTTATGTAGTTTTTTTATTATTTTTTTTTTTTTTAATATGTAAATCTTAAAACTTGATTTGTATGAGTTATTTTTTTAACAAAAGTTTTTTTTTAATATTAGATGATTGTTAAATTTAAAAATAGATTTTAATCGCTAAAAACTGATTTTAAAGACAAAACAAAAATTTGGTAAAAAACAAATAATCATGAGAATATCATATGATCTTATCAAATTTCAAAGTTTAAAGTAAAATTGTAAATTTTATTTCTGAAATCATTTACTCTTTTTACTTGTAAAAAACTTATACAAACACGAATAAAATGTTTTCTGAAAACTTTTAAACATGGTTTTATAAATATAAGCAGTATTTCCCCCAAACCTTTATATATAATTTGAAATTTCTTTAAACTTTTCCAGTTTAAAAAAAATGTAGATTTGAGGTAAACCATAGAATTTTTATGCATCATGGTCTCCAACGTTGTATAATGCTTTTCCATTAAACTAACAAAATGTTTGTAAGGTTTTACTAAAAAAAAACAAGTTATTCTAAAAGTTTTTATGTTGGGTTTGAAATAAAAGAGCTTTAAATTAAAAACATCCCAGGAAAAAAAGTACTATAGAATTTTCTATAAACTTTTGAAACATATGGGCTATAGAAACTCTATAGAATTTCTATAGAATGTCTATTAATTACTATAGAAATTGCTATAAAACTTTTTTTTCTATAAAAAAAAAGTAGAAAAATAATTTCAATAGGAATTTTAATAGAAGTTTAACAGAAAATCTATAGAAATTCTATAAAATTTTATAGAATTTCTATAGGCCATATGTCTCAAAAGTTTATATAAACTCTATAGAACTTTTTTTCCTGGGATAAATTAACAAGCTAAAAAACTAAGAATTATCAGTTATCTTATAAAATACTCTATATGCGAAAAGGCAATCAATTTGAAAGAAAATTTTTTATAAAGCCTGTGAATGTGCTACACAAAATAAATAATTATTTTTTATATTTAACTTTTTATCATATTTATATTTATATATATTTAACTTTTTTATATTTATATTTATATATATTTAACTTTTTATCATATATCAGGTTCTTTTTTGAGTTTTTACCCTTGTCATATTTTTTTTGAGTTTTTATCCTTGTCTTATTTTTTTTTAGTTTTTACCCTTATAATATTTTTGACACGCGATTTTTCACATTCTTATATTTGAATTTTTCAAAATTAGTTGGATCAAAACTTTTTATAGAACTCTTTTTATATAAGGTTTTTAGGAAATGTTTAATGCACAAAACAAAGTTATATAAACTGAAAAATCCATTTTTTGGTGTATGTTATTTGTCAAGATCCAATATATAGACCTCTTAGCCCCTAGTCTATGGCCGCTGCAAAATTATTTATTTTTTCCCAATTATCAGCTGTCTCAAAACAGTCTTTTATATTAATTTTAAATAACTGCTTAGTTTAACATGTTATGGACAAATAATTAAGTTCATTTCGTAATTTTATTGTTACTGTTAAGTCTTATGCAGCAAAAAATTTTGAACAGTTTATTTCACATTGTTTTAAAATGATATAATCCCCTGCTTTAATTCATATGACATTCAATTTCTATCTGATTATAAAAGAAAATTTTGTGCTTAAATTATCAGAAACGTAAGAAAAAATGTCTGAAAATCAACAGAGGGAGCTTTAAAAGCAAATGTAAATAAAACTGCCTATAGCATTTTATATCGAGGACCAAAAATATGGAACACCTATTAAAAAGAATTAAAATGTATGATAAAGTCGTTAAAAGTTCATTTAAAATCTCTAACAAAAAAAAAGAAGTTTTTAAAACTTGAAAGATTTGTGCGTAAGTTACTCTGAAGTCATTTCTATACTTTTTTGTCTTTTTTGTTTTTGATCTTGTTAGCGCAGTAAATATTATTATTATGCTATTGCGGTTATTTTTACTATTACGGTTTTTAATATATTTACGATAATTTTCTCAAACTATAATATTAAATCAATTATATTAATTATATTATATTAAACTATAATATTAAATAAACTTTGATTTTACATAATATATATTTTATATATAAAAAAGAAGACAAGATTTTTTCTTCTTAATGTTGAGACATTTTTTTCTTCTTGTATACATATGTGGTATTTATTGTTAAACATTAAAATAAATAGGATAAAAAAAAAAGATCTGATTTGAAGTTAAAAAACTGAAACTCCGTTACCATGCATGAAATTGTTCTAATTTTTGCTGTGAAGGGTAGTGTGCACAGTATCATAAATTCACATATTGAGCAAAATTGATAAAAATTACATCACTGTGTACTGATCTTTCTGTCGTTTTGGATTTATATGACTAGGTACAATATCCAATCACTCACAAAATGTTTAAAATTACTAGGTCATGTAATGTAAGTGTTACCAGAGCTAAAAGTAGCTTCTCAACTTTGCAAAGAATTTAAAACTGGCTAACAAAACAAATGACAGAAAACACTAAAGTCGGATCTGTCTTATTTAATGTGTGCTGAGAAACTCCAGTAAATGCTGAAAATTGATTGACAGTTTCTCAAAGTCGAGAAATTGTAAATTAAAATTTGTAATACAAGTTGTAAAAGTAATCAACAAATCAAAATTTTAAATGTGTTTTTAGCTACACAGCTAAATCAGCCGTAGCCGTAGCGTAGTAGTTACGGCTTTCTAAGGCAAGTGGTAGCACTTGCCTCAGAAACAAAGGATCCTTGGTTCAAATCCCACCTCTGGGCAAGTTTTGCGACATCTGTTAGGAAGGAGGCACGAACTTCCAATTAAATGCTCATCCGCGGTACTATGTGATAAGACCGTAGAGACTTCTTGGGGCACCTATATAAAATTAAAAATAAAAAAAAATAAACATATCTTTTTGTTTCAATCAATTTAAGTTACTTCAAAATATTTTAATATTTTAGTTTATATTGCATGCGTTTTTTTATAAAGGGATGCAAATACCAAGTAGTATTCACAAAAAAAAGTTTTTTCAGATCATATAAGGGGAGAGAGGGGATCTGCCTTCGCTGCTGCGATCTATTTTAAATCAGAATTTCAGATATTATATTATCTTTCATAAAGTACGTACGCATATAGAGAAGGAGGGTTTACCCAAAAAGTACGAATGCGTACAAGGGGGAGGGGGTGTTAAAGACAGGGAGTACAACTATCTCTTGTTTTCTTAATCAAATTCGACTGATCAAAGAATTGGATATAAAACCAGTTTCGAAGTTAGAAAAAAAAAATGTTTGGCTTTTCTCCAGCTTAAAAACATCACGTACCTCTTATATCTCTTACTAAGCATAAAATTACTTCATTAGTCTTGTTCTGTTGATCTTGTTGAAATAAAACAACTCAAACAAGCTTGTTGATTAAAACTTGACGAGCGTATACCAATATCCCAACCAACAAAGCGAGTTGGCTCAATCCCAATGTAAGACATGTTTTATTTAGCAGAGATGAAAAGTAAAGTTTAGTATAACCAAGATTTGAACTTTAATATATGAAAATAAAAGTAGTAGTTTTAAGCATAAACTAGGTCAATCCTGATATCTTGTTGATATCTCAATAAACAAAACTAGCCTCCCGCTCAGTTGATTGAGATATAAAACAATTATACATTATAATTTATATTTTTAACGAAAACTTACGAGTATTTTAATTTTTGTTATTTTGTTTGGTTATCATAAGGCCTGAAATTGTTTTCTTTTGTAATTTATTTTTGAAATAAGTCACGAGTTTGCACTATGATGATGAGGATAAAAAACGTAAGACGGGGGAAAAATTAGTTCTTTTAGATTATGTATATTATGTCTAGTCTTTAATCTTTAAGTCGATCATAATCTAATATATTATGAACGAATTTTTTTTTTTTTAACTGAAACAGAGTTGTGCTATTTAACTGTTAAAAAGATAAATAAAAAATTCATTGCATTTAATCCGCAATGCTTTAAATAACATATCTTTTTCAAGATGTTACATCACACATACTAAGTTATGTAAACTCTACCGTTAAAAATTATTATTTTGACCAAAACGCTTTCATCACTTATTAATTAAAAAAAGTCCAACTAATAGTAAATTAAGGAATTTTAATAGTAACCAAAGAAATTGTGAAGCTTAAGAAATCATTGAAATAGAAAAAAAATCATTAATATAGTATCCAAATACTTTATGTTTATTTTGAAAGAGTGCAACCAAAATTTTTAAGTAAAATTCAAAATTAAACAAAAAACATAGAAAGCTAAGTAGTCCCAAATCAAACTTTGTGTTGTATAAATGAAAACAATATCAAACTTATTTTCAGTAAAAAGTTTTTGTAATTTTATTTAATATTTAGTACACTTTATAAACTTTATTAATTCATGAAAAAATGAATTTATTGATGGATATTTTATTTATTCATTGCAAAAAAATTTAAAGCATTAACAACGGTTAGTTTGTGGCATCATAAAATTTAACTCCCACATTGAAAAAAGAACTTGATGAATAAATTTATTTTTCCGTTTTTTGTTATAGCTTTTGAGTCAGGTAAGTAGTACAGTGCTGCTTTAGATAATGGACAACTACCAAATTTTAAAGCAAATTATAATTTATTTAGTATTACCTAATATCAATCTTTATATCTAGTAGAAGCTACTTGATATATAGACTTTGTACAGCTGCTTTTAAATATTACAAATTCATTGGTTGCCGTTCTGCTTGTTTTTACGATATTTATTATGCTTCTAAAAGCGTAGCGTCGGCTTAGCGATTGAAATAAAAAAGTTTGGAAATCTGCTGAGTAAACATCGTTTTTAGGAAAACTAAAATAATCATGGGACTTTTAACTGTTGGTACTCCGTTAAGTTGGGAGGATACAAAAAAGTACGCTGAAAAAATCAAGAAACACGGAATATTACAATTTATCAATCTATATAAGAATCTCAAAGATCGCCAACGTGATACTTTAAAATGGGGCGACGAGGTAAAATAATTATATTTTTATATAGTTATGTAATTTTTATGTTTGTTAATATAAAATATAAAAATTTGACTGCTATTCCGTAATATAGACTCGATTTAATATCGTCGCTATTTTTTTTTAAATTTCTTGATAACGATTTAAAGAAAGACCATATATTGTATATATTTTAATTCATTTTTGATAATATATTTTCTTATTTTAAAAAATTCGAATCATTCTGATTTTTTAAATGCAAATGCAATTTCAAATGCAATTAACAAAACTAAAAAATAATGTAAGCCGCATTAAAGTGAAACAAAATGCATAAAAACAACAATAATAAAAACAACAACAACAACAATAACAACAACAACAACAACAAAAAAAAAAGAAAATTAAAAAGGTTAACAAAGTTAGCAAAAAATAAAAAGTAAATTTTTAGTCTAGACTATTAACATTCGCGAGGTAAGTAGTTTTAACATCAAATTTAATAGTCCCTACCTTTAGTTAAATTTTAATGAGAAATGTTAAAAATTTTTTACATTACCAACTACAGACAAAAACTAGTTTAACCATTTATTGTTTTCACATTTTTTAGATTGAATATACGTTAATATATATTGATCATAAGAACAAGTCAGCTCGGTTGCTCTTAAAATGTAGTGATATTCTGCATGTTTTACAAGAAGAAGAAAACAACAACCCAGGGTATAAAATAGTTACACATCTTCCAATATATATATATATATATATATATATATATATATATATATATATATATATATATATATATATATATATATATATATATATATATATATATATATATATATATATATATATATATATATAAAATTTTTTTTGTTTACAATTACAGTTTTCTGTTGTTTTTTTCATTTAGGATTTCTGTTTTGTTTAACAAAGCATTATTGTGACCTTTTATAATTCTTTCCATATTTTTTGTGCAACTGTAGTTAACTTTAATTTTATTTCAATTAAAAATTTTATCTAATTTATTAGAGGGCAGGAAATGGTTATCGACCAATTTTAAAAACACTTTTCCTATATTAGTGAAATTTTTTTTGCTATATGGGAGGTTGAACCAAATTACATTTCTAGTTCTATTGCGCATTTTTATATTCTTTTTTTCAGGGTCAAAATTAAGTTCAAAATTTTGAAAACCACTTTTTAAGAGGGGATTTTTGAAAATTTCATTAGATTTAAATAAATTTAAATTCATTTTCATTAGAAGAGTTTTAGTTTAGCCGCTTGCTAATTAAAATTGGGATTTGTTTTAGAATTTGGGGTGGATGATTTGAGTTATTATTAATATGCAATAATTTATTGTTTGGTTATTTGAAAGGCTTATGTGAGTTTTCAGAGAGGTTAAAGGTGACATCAAGAAAATTCACAATATTTAAATTTATGCTTATTCAATTTGAAAGCCAATATTTTTTAAATTTTTTAAAATTTTATTGAGCTGTGGGCCAGATTTTATATGTATTACTGTTAAACTATCATCACGATAAAGGCCTATTTCATTAATATTGACTAGCTAATCTAACCCGTAAAAATACAGGTCTTTGTAAGTTTACTCCAGGCTGAGCTTTTCTATACTTTTTCCTTATATATATCCTAGTTTTTTGGACCCATAAATTACAGGACTTTACCAGAACTACCATTTCTATACTTATCTATTTCACATCAATCATTTCTATAACTATCATTTGCTTACTTCAATATTTTTACGTAAAATAATTCATTTTGAAAAATTGCTTTAAGGGATCTCTAACTGCCGAGACAAGTTGTGTTCATATTAAAGAAAATGTTTAAAAAAAAACATTTGGGCTGAATTTTTTTGATTAAAACTAAATAATGAATGCACACTATTAATTTTAAAATTTACATTTTAGTCGAAGCTTGCCGTCTCCATTTTTTTTTGGTTCTCGAAGTCTGTATAATGTTAGCCGCAATCTGCAGACTTGATAATTTATTCTGTGCGTGTTTAATTCATAACAGTTTCGGTATATGATGTCATCGTATAAGTTTTTACTTTTGAGATGTTGTATTATTTTTTTACCACAATCATTAAATCATTTTAATTGTATATCTTTTTACTAAATCCCCAAAAAAAGTTTGATACAATTAAAAATTAAATTAATAAAATTTATAAAAATAAAAATTTAATGTAAAAAATTTAATGAGTATTTGCTGTAAATTGTACTGGTTTAAACAATACAAACAATATAAACAAGATACTAAAAGAATAATTTTACTAAGGCGTATAAATTGTAATAAACCAATATAAACTGAGTAATAAACCAGTGACTTGAATAAAACATAAACTTAACTAAGTAGAAAATAATTATTAAACAAATTATTTTTTCAATAACCATACAAATCAAACTAAATTAAAGTTAAAACAAATATTTGTTTTAAAATATACATAAAAAAAGTTATAATATAAGTATAAAGACAAAGAATCGCATTAACTCATTTGTTACCAGCCGAACAAAAATCTTTTTGTAGCGACCGCACATTATTTTGAATAAAATTTAAATGGCATAACATTGACAACTAATTAAAATTCGAATAGTAACTCTCTTATACAGATTCCGAGAACCAAAAAAAATGGAGAAGGCAAGCTTCGACTAAAACGATAATTTTAATTTTGTTGGTATGCGTTCATTTCTTCAATGTAAACACAACTTGTCTTGGCAGTTGAAGATCTTTTTTAAGAGCAAAAAATTAACATGCGCACCTTTTCCACATACCTAGAGCTTATAAGAGATTTATAATTAGTTGTTATCCTAAATGCATATATATTTGATAGTTCATCAGTGTTGTACTTGGGGGGGGGGGGGTAAAAGAAGTCCCACAATAAATTTTGAATATTTTTCAATCTTGCTGTATTTATAGCAATATTTACAGCAAAATTTTTATTTTGTTTAAATTTTTATTAAAACTATTTTGATTTTTTATTCAACTTATGACTATGTGAGGGAAAATTTTGATCTTTTTTGTTTTGTTCATTAGTGAAATTTAGTTTTGCTTAATTTATTGATGATCTCTAATCTAAAAGTTAAGCTAAAAATAATGAAATATACTATTTTGATGGTTATCTAAATTCTGTCGTTTTTGTGCCCTCGGTTTAGAATGTTTAACGGGGGCATGGTAGAATAAATGTAAAACTCTAAATTTCCTTATATCAATATCAAATAATTTTAATTTTTAATTATTTTTAAAAACAACAAATTTAATAAAATGATTTAATTTAAATATAAAATTAGAATTTTCAATTATGTTCTTGATAAAAACATACTTTTTAAACCCCCTTACTATTTGAAAAAAATTAAGTCGCCGTGTGGCAAGTTCAAATCAACATCTTGCTTTTTTTGTTTAATTTTTTCTATTTAAAATGCAAAACAAAATAACTTTTTATTTCTATAGATTTTATATTCTATATATAAGCATGTTGTATACTCATTTTTTATGCACCAACTAAATTTAATTAAAAAACTTGAAATGTTAAACTTAAATATCAAAAGTAAATAATTATGACACATACACAACAAATTTCCTCCATTTTTTAGAATTTTTAGCTTTTTTAAAAATCTTTTTGTTTGTTGAAGTGTATAATATTGTTACATATGTTTGTATACAATCTATTTAAAACTTCACAAGTATTTTGTATTTTGAAAAATTGAAAAAAATTAAAAAAAGATTTTCGCCACTGGTAGGACTTGAACCATGGCTTTTTTGTTTAGAAGCTGCGAGCTAACCACTTGGCCATGCTGGCACATTTACTTATGAATTTTTAAAAGTATATAATAATTTTTTTTCAACAGAAGTAAATGCTACAGATCAAAATAAAATAGAGTTTAGCGCAATTCAATTTTCAAGTGAAAGTCAAATTGTAAAGCTTGATATATATTAAAGTATATTTTACCATTACATAATTTGAAGTTTATGTACGTTAGATATTTGCAAACACATTTGTTCACATTTTCTTATAAAACAAAGTGCTGCAACTCATTCTCGCCATTGCCTCGGTTGCAATGGCTGTCAAGAGTTCTGTGTCAAACATGCTCGTAAGGGCACTACTAACACTACTACTATTAAGTTCAGCATTATTACATAGATTAATTTTATTGATAAATCCAAAATATATAGTCCAACAAATTTACAAATTTCTTCTACATCATAACTGTCCATTGTTACATCAAAGCATTCATGTATGTTTTTTCTTTTTCCAAGGTTTCTTATTAGATAAAGTAAGGTTGTCTGCAATGTTTTATTATACAGATTGTCTCTTCTAGAATAACTTTATGCAAATTTAATTGTTTTATCTAAAATATCTGCAGTTATTGAGTTATTGAAAAGTCATTAATGTCAAATTAAATAAATGACAGTCATTTTTATTTTCAATTATGGAGAACCAATTTATAACATCAATGGTATTTTTCCACTGTTGTAAATTTCTAAGAACATTATTAATTCTATCCAATTTATTTTGCTTACCTTAAATGTTATTTTTGACATAAAATTATTGTAATTTATTCAATATGAATTTTATTATGTTGGCAAAGAACCACAAGTAAATATTAAATAAAATAAAAAGTTTTATTAATTGTTAATTTAATATTTGGATCTCCAAAATTCATTCTATTTAAGTTCATTCAGTTGAAAGCTTTAAATCTTAAGATTTTTAAGTTTATTCTAATTACACTGTTTGGTTAAGTAAAGATAAATTTATAGGCTTAGCAGTTAAAGTTTTCAAATATACTTTTTGTTTGTTTTTCTTTTGTAAAGTTCTAATCAAAATGCATGGAGGATGGAGTATGCAGATTACATGGTTGAAGGTACGGGATTAAACAGTTAAAATATGATTAAACATTATAATGACATATTTTTTTAAGTGCACATTGTTATATAGTTTTTTGTTAATTTTAATGTTTAAAAAAGAAGTATTTTTTTATGTATACTAGGAAAATTATGAATATTTTATCAGGTACACCAGGGCAGCCATTTGGAGGATGTTTAAAGCAATTTAACAGAGTTGAAGCTAGTATGAGGTCAAGGTAATTACACTCTTAGTTGTTTTATTGCATTTGATAATAAACTTGTAATGTTATATTAGACTAAAGAAAAAAGGTATATTTTCTTTCTAAAAAGTATTTTAGGTTAAGAAGGTATAAAGAATAATTAGTAATAAGTTGATTTAAATAATAACAGTATTATATTATAATTACAGATTTTACCTGAAATCTTTTTTTATGTAAAAAAATATTTTAAGATGTAATGAGTCATTCTTGTCATAGTTAGAATTACATTTAATGCAAATTTACTTTTATGCAGTGAAGAACTTTTTTTTTTTTAAAAAAAAAAAGCCAGATAAAGGGTGAAGATCCTGAGCAGTATAATTGTATCAGACAATATGTATCTGTATATTGCTTCAATTTTAATTTATTCAAAAATGTTTAATGATTGTTTACAATGTTTATTATAAAGGTAATAAATATATGTAATTTTACATAATTTAAAACAGAAAATATATTATTTTTTATTTTATGTTTATGACATAAAAATGATATTAATTCAGATTATTAAAGTACATTTGTCATTATGATATTGTGTTAATTACCATGAGTGATAAGACTTGTGAAATAGAAGAACAAAGTATAGATGCTCAGAGGGTAGGGGGAGAAATAAGTAATGTTCTAGCAACTCTGTGCATAGATCATATGATTGAATATTTGTCATAATACATTATTAAAGTGAATTCTATTTATAAATTATATCCATATAGAAAAATTTTTGTTTATTTTAAATGCAATTTTTTTCGTAATTTGTTTGAAGTTATTATTGTATATTTGTTGGGTATAAACATACGATAAAGTTCAAAATCATGATAACTAATAAAGTATATAATTATATGATTTGCTGTCTTTAATTATCAATGTAATTATCTTATCTACTTTTAAAATTTGGTATATAATATATAAATATATATATATATATAACTGCATTAAACATAAAATTGTATAAGATATCAACTTTAATTGAAATAATTTTAAAAGATTTTATTCTTTTATATCTTTATAACTTTTAATCGAAATAATTTACATGATTTTTTTCTTTTATGGCTCGCAAAAGTTTTGAATTTTATTAATTTTTAAAATATAAAAATGAAGTTGTTTTGTATTAAAGTATTAAATAATTTTAATATAAATTATATTGTTATATATTTTTATGATATATTATAATCTTTTAAACAATTCCCACATACTTCTAATAACTTTTTAATTAACAGAACTTTATTATGACAACTGATTAAAAAATAATATATTCTAATGAAAATTTATAAAATACCTTATTTACTTATACCATTTATTATTTTACAAAATTATGTTTTGGTTTATATAAGTTTATAACATTTTTTCCGTGAAAATCACGGAAAAAGTCCCAGTCAGCTTTATGGTAGTTGTAAGCGGTACAATGATAAGAGGATTCAGATGATGAAGAAGAATAAGATAATAGTTTTAAAGAAATCAAACTGTAATCAGAAGCACCTAAAGGTGAATGTAAGGAAACTGAGCTCTGACTAGGATCAGAAACAAGACATAAGTTGAGTAGAGAAGGTAAATGATTCAGGTTGTCTGGAAAGCGAGTTGGAAAGTTGACTATTCAAGTTAGGGATTGAGAAAGGCAAAAGTTGTGGGCTTCAACGCCTGCAGAGTCACTGACACTCAAGCCAAGTCATTCTGTGCGATGGGCATTAAGGTTACTAAAACAACAATATTGGCTGATGGATGGAGAGAGAGGGCTTGATCAATATAATCAGAAATAACATCAAAAAGAGTGCAGTCTTGAGATGAAGGAGAGCGATATAGAACAAAGAGAGAGGCGGTAGAGTGACATGGTGCTAAATGAAAGCACATAAAAGAATAGTCTGTGGATTCAAACCTAGTTTCCAGACAAATGGGTGAATTCTTATGAATGTAAATGCCCAGGCCAAGCATGTGACTATTGGAATCTATGAGTTAAAGGAAGATAACCATCAAAACTAAAATCACAAGATGAGACAGCTGAACTCAAATTAGTCTCACAAAAAGCAATTAGGTTAGGTAAACTTTGCAGAAGATAAGACTCAACAGAAGAAAAGTTACTTCGAAGACTACGAATATTAGTGAGTGATAGGTTTAGAAAACTTGGTGATGGCGATGGTTTTTAGTGTTCTATAGTTTTTCGTAATTTATTCATTTTTAAATTTGTTAAAGAACTTGACTCAAAGCATAGATAATACTCAGTACACTGTTTAATAGCCCAAGCAATTGCCTCATTACTGTTAATAAACCCTAAGCCGTAACAAAGGGCTCCAAATTTGGCTTTTGCAATGTACACCAAAAGTAAAAAAAGGGACACCATTTATGCGCAACATGGCAATGTTGATACTTTAATATTTTTCAGCTATTGATGGAATCAGCCTCTCTGAAAGCTACCACAGAGTTCGTGAAACCTGACTACCAGCCGACCTCAGAACCATAAAACTGAGTTCTAGAGCTGTACCCACATTAGGAAATAATAGAATGAGTTGCCTCATAAAAGCAGAGTCACAAGCAAAGCCCATGCATTGAGTCAAGAAGATCTAACATTCAACATCTGAAAACAATGTATTAAAATACATCTGCGTGATAATAGATAAAGAAGGGGTGCAAGGCTGGTCAACAGATAGAATTTGTTTACCCTTTAAGTCTTTGCCTAGTAGGTCTGCTACAAGACAGTAGCCGGACGCATTTAACATCTGCCCAAGATGAGTATTTTTATTGAGACACCATCTCTAGCTTTTACTTAACAAAGAGCAGGGGGTGTTTTAAGTTGGAGTTGGCTTCTCCTAGCTTTTGCCTAAAAAAGCATATCCTACAAAGCAGCAGGACATGAAGCGTATTGTACTTGGTTACATGTTACCAGTAGCAGGATAACCTGACCTGACACATTATAATAGCATAAAATTCAAGGTTAAGTGTCTTTGATGCAATGTCTACTGTTTCTAGTACAGGCCTTCTTGTAAGAAGCATGTAATCAAAGAACTATATGTGTCATCATATAAGGCGTGATTCTTGTAAGAATGTATGCCTTATATGATCATGCATATAGTTCTTTGTTTTAACAACTTGACCACAGCTCTTTGCAAGTTTTGATGATTAGCGCATTTAAAAAATGCGCTAAAAGCAAATAAAAATAAAAATAAACAATCCATAAACTGAAAAGAGAATAAAATCCTTAAAAAAATATACAATACAAAAATAAACCTAAAAAAGTAAAATATTTAAAGAATGATAAAATAAAGGAAAAACCAGAAAAAAAATCAAAACATTTATTAATTAATGTAAACTAATTGTAAGCGAAAATGAAAAAAGTCACAGCTCTGATAATCTTTATCATTCCTTCCCATGAATAAATAGGCTAATGCAAGAGCAGATCCATAGTGAGGGAAAGAGTCATGAAAGAGTCTTTCCCTTCCCCCCCCCCTCCTCTACAGATTAATCTTTTAAAATTGATGTTTAAAAACATAAGTAACTTAGGTTGTTTAAAAGTGCCATGAGATTTAATAAAATTTTGTGGTGCAAATTTAAAATTTTATTAAAAAGTTAATAAGATACAGGGTGCAACAAATCGACAAATGTGCGCGCATTTCTTAAAAGACAGACAGAAAAACAAACATCACGTTTCTTTAATTTTGCTTATGCAAAATTAAAAGAAAACCATTTGTTTAAGATTTTTTTATATGAACTCATTACTTATGCAATTTTTTTCAAAATAATTTTGCAATTAATAGTTTTTTATTTATTATAAAAAAATCATATTTAAAATGAAAAACAATTAATTTCAGAGACTTTTAAAAAAAAAAGCCAAAACAAAATTACTTTTTTCAATAGCGTCACTTTTAAATAAAATAACTAAGTACGCTATAGAAGAAAGTAATTATATTTTAGCATGGTTTTTGCATCACTCACAAAATCTTGCATAATTTTACTTAAAATGAATGTTTAAGCAAAACCTTCAAAAGAAACTGTGCTTAAACATTTCGATTGCTTTCTTTTATTGAAGAAAGGGATCATAATGTTTAAGCATGGTTTCTTTTATGTTTTTAGCAATTATATTAAAAGTATAAAGCAAATGAATTCATTATAAATAAAATTTTGCATGCTTTTTTTAAATATTTCTTATTTTCCATAAAGTAAAATGTTTGTTTGCATATTAAAAACACTTTTAAATTTTTTTTTTTATTGTGCATTTATTATTTATTTCAATTTGCGCAAACTTTGCTAATGTGTCAAAAAAAAGTTTTTGAAAAATAAAAATTGAATAAATTTACCAAGCATCTTTGATATATTTAATAATTTATTAACTAAAATGGACAACTAAAATTATTTGAAATATATTTAACATAAATCTCTTAAATAGACGTTTGTCAATAAATAAAGATACACAAGTCAACTTTCATTTAAAAAAACGATATGTCACGCCCTGAGATAAAAAATAGTTGGCAGATGCGTTTGTTTCAAGATTATTGTAATTCTTTTTTTTAGTAAATAATTTCTCTATTAGAAATTATATTTCCATGATAAAACAGTTTGTAATTATATTTTAATAGCTTCTGTACTCATTTTGCCTTAAACTCTAATATGAATATTTTTTCAATGATTGCCTTTTATTAAGTTGCATTAAAGTACTCAGGAAATTTTTTGGCAATTTAATTGTAATTATGGAATCAATTAAATTAAAAAATCGCATTTACATATGCTTTTGTTTTTTTTTAGTGGATTTTTTAAATGCGCTACTTTTCAAAACTTGCAAAGAGCCGTGGTCAAGTTGTTAAAACAAAGAACTATATGTGTGGTCATACAAGGCATGTGATCGCATGCCTCTTACGAGAAGACCTGTAGTAGATTATTAACATATGACTTTTTCCTAACAAAGCCATGCTGGTGTTTTGAGATTAGGTTGTTTCGAAGAAGTCTGATTAGATCTAGTTGGAAATATTAATTTGGTCTTGCAGTTTTGCAACTTTGGAAAATTACAGATTCGAATTGTTTGTTTAGACATTCTGCCATTAGAGGTGAAACTAGCAACTTTTTTTTTGGTTGATGTATTGGTATACTATTTTTGGATTATTTTTTGAAAATAGCACAAGTTTGGATTCATAATTTTTATGAGCAGTAATAATGTCTTTTTTTTAGCTGCTTACATGTTATTTTGTAGATTGGGTTAATAAGTAGGCAAAAGTTGGCAGAGCTGGCTATCATTTTAGACCAAAGATTAAATTTTCTTTTGGTTATGAGTTTAATGTGTGTTGTGAACCATTTTGGTTTTATTCTATTTCTAAAAGTTCTAGTGGGTACAAATTTTGGGTTATCCATCTTTGTAGCAAAGTTTAATGAGTTTGTTTATTGTGATAGGATTATTTTTGTATACCTCAAGTTGATTCCGCCACTCAGTCTGCAAAACAAATTTTCATATCATATAGTTATCTCTACTATAGTTTGGTTTTTGGTTAAAGGTAGATAACTGTTAAAATTGATTATTGTTCCAAGCAAAAATTTCCAGCTTAGCGTACAATTAAATGTTTTTGGTTGAGCTGCCAAATAGTGGACCAATGATGTTTTCCGTAACTCTGGAGGTATAGTCAGTCAGAACAAGGTTGAGAGTATTTTGGCTAAATGTAGGTTTAGAGACATGCTGGGTTAAGGCAGCGGTGTTGACAGAGAACTTAATGCTTGCTTTAGTTACTTTATTTTTCATGCTGTTGTCCATACTATGTCAGGGTAATTGAAATCACCGACTTCTCGTAGCCTCATGCCTCTAGCCTTAGCAACATTCAGAGCAGAAATTAGACTACAGTTGATTTTCTTAGTTGTTTGATTGTGGATGGCTCTCTATAAATGCACCCAGTAAGGAATTTTTTATTTTTGTAATTTAGCATACACCATACTTGACCATACTGGCATTTTGCTATGAAGTTCAGTGACATTAAACTAGGATGCTTAGATGTCTTCTTTAATACAGAATGCAACTCCACCATATGAGTCCGGTCTGTTGTTGCTAAAAAGATTATAGCCAGATAATTGGAAAGGAGATTATTAAATTACAGAAACATGGTTTATTAAACCATGTTTCTGTAATTGCTGTTTGCATAGACAAATTTAATGTTGCTACTGTAGCAGCAAGAGTCTCTGATTTATTACATAGCAATTTGTGTTTTTACTGGTGGTATTTTTTGGCCTAATAGTGAGCTCTGCACAAGCAATGCTCAATAAGTTATTCCTTAATTGTTAATAATTCTGGATATTTTTTTGCTGAGTCACTTCTTCTTGTAGCTGAAGCAATGGCTGATGAGTTTGTTGCATATAGTAGTGTGTCTGCCTCAGATAGCTGTATATACATTTTTTTCAGAATTCCATTTTTTACAACATAAAAAAATTTTTTTTCATTGTTTATTTCACATCTACCCATGCTGTCCTAGTGTTTCATGTTCTCTGTGTTAGTCATTGTTACCCATGCTGTCCTAGTGTTTCATGTTCTCTTCTTTTTCTCTACTGCTTGTTGAACGCTAGTTTTTTAGCATTTACATAAGCATCTTTAAATTTTTTGTTCTCCCTGCTTATGTGCATTTAATAGTGCTAATTTGACTTATGTGCATTTAATAGTGCATTTAATAATTTGTAGTGCTAATTTAATAGTGCTAATTTGCTACATTATTTACATAATTCACTACATAATTTGCATGATTCTGAATCTCTTAGTTCAACTATGATCATTTTTGTTTTGTTAGGTGTAAAGTATTGTTTACTTGTAGTGCAGTTAGTATTTCCTTTGCTAATTGATCATTACTTGATCAAAAAAGATTGTCTTTGTTCTTGATTTCATCTACAGACCCCTGAGACAGTCTAACATTGCTTAGAACAATATCGTTTTCAATAAGTTTGCTTTCTTCTAGTTCCTGTCTCATCTTAGTAATCATTATTATTTCTTCCTTAGTCTTATTCTTATTGAATAAAGAGGCAAATGTGGTTAATGGTTTTATAGTTAGAGGGCTAGAATGTCCTTTATTAGATATCATTTTTTTCATTTCTATTGCTTTTTTCTCAAGATCGTTTGTTGTAGTCTTATTCGGGTTGACATGCTGATATTCTGTTCTTGTAGTAACTTAACCGTTATTGCTAATGATTTAAACCAATGCGGTGCTGTCTTGTTGAGGTTGTATGATTACCTTAGCCTAGACTTGGCAATTATATATATATATATATATATATATATATATATATATATATATATATATATATATATATATATATATATATATATATATATATATATATATATATATATATATATATATATATATATATAATTGCCAAGTCTAGGCTAAGGTAATCATACAACCTCAACAAGACATATATATATATATATATATATATATATATATATATATATATATATATATATATATATATATATATATATATATATATATATATATATATATATATATATATATATATATATATATATATATATATATATCCCTTGGAATTAGGAAAAATGAGGTTGGCAATAATTTGCTGACCTCAACATTTTAGAGGTCGGCATCAGGTTGGCAAAAATTATTTGGTACAAATGACCTCAAACACTTTTAGTTCAACAATAAGGTCGGCAATGCTGACTTTACTGCCGTATATATGTGTGTATATATATATATATATATATATATATATATATATATATATATATATATATATATATATATATATATATAGTATATATATATATATGTATATATATATAAATATATGTATATATATAATATATATATATATGTATATATATATATATATATTATATATATATATGTGTATATATATATATATATATATATATGTATATATATATATATATATATATATATATATATATATATATATATATATATATATATATATATATGTATATATATATATATATATATATATCTTGTCTCTTAAGCTGCATTTTAATGTTGTTGAAATGTCAAAGCAATTAAATTAATGCGTACATTAAATTTTATTGTTATTTAAAAAAACCACAATTATAATGACTAGAAAGTTTTCTTTAATTAGTGGTGTTTTTGTTTTTGTTTTATTAAAAAATATTTTTAAAACATGCGTAAGTGTGGCTACATCGACTATCTTATAGGCTGCTGCTACAAGGGAGTTTTGCTACATCGACTATCTTATAGCCTGAATTTCAAGGGAGTGCTGCTACATAGACTGACAAATAGCCTGCCTCGCAAGGGAGTGCTGCTACATCGACTGACAAATAGCCTGACTCGCAAGGGAGTGCTGCTACATCGACTGACAAATAGCATGATTCGCAAAGGAGTGCTGCTACATCGACTGAGGGTTTGTTTGGGCAGGCAGTCTATCATTTATAAAAAAAAAATTTTTTTTCGAAGTTTTTCAACATTTTCTGGTCAGGCTTATTAACGCGCTCTTTAAAACAACAGCTTGTAGGAAAAACTTTGTGACTACCATGCAAGACTATATATATATATATATATATATATATATATATATATATATATATATATATATATATATATATATATATATATATATATATATATATATATATATATATATATATATATATATATATATATATATATATATATATATATATATATATATATATATGTATATATGTACATATATATATAAATATATATATGCATGTATATATATGTAAATAAATATGTATATGTATATACATATATATATATATATATACATGTATATGTATATACATATATATATATATATATATATATATATATATATATATATATATATATATATATATATATATGTATAATGTATATACATATATATATATATATATGTATAATGTATATACATATATATATATATATATATATATATATATATATATATATATATATATATATATATATATATACATACATATATATATATATATATATATATATATATATATATATATATATATATATATATGTATAATGTATATACATATATATATATATATATATATATATTCATATATATATATATATATTCATATATATGTATAATGTATATACATATATAATGTATATATATATATATATATATATATATATATATATATATATATATATATATATATATATATATATATATATATGTATGTATATATATATATATATATATTCAGTTTTTTGATGATTATATGAAATTTGGACATTTGCCTTTAACATCTAGTTTGATAAAAACGTTAGGTTACTGGCATTTGAGTGTAAAATTTCAATTGTATTAATATTTGTAGCAATTATTATTTATATTCAGTATTAATATTTGTAAATTTTGAATTAATTAAAGTTATTTGTTTTTTGTTTGCTTTTTTGTGATCAAGATTTAAATAATCATCATAGTTTGTAAAATTTTTAGACGTGAAGAATTAATGCGTGTTCTTAAAGAAAATGAAACTGTTATTTGCTTTGCTTCATTTCCTAGGTAAATTTTTTTAAATACTTTTTTATAAATGTTCATCTGCAAAATAAACCAACATTTCTATGATAGTTTCATAAAAAAACTGTTAATGAAATTTTACATTAGTTCTTTAAGTTGAATCTTTTGAATTAATTAATAGCAATTTCTGCTTTTAATTTATCTTTGTATAAATTCCCATAAGAAACTATTTACGTACTCAATTTAATACGTTATAGCTTTGAATTTTGTAATCTATTTTAGTGAAGAGTTTAAATAAATTCACAATAGTCACAATAGATAAAGAGGCTATTCTTTTTTCCATTTTTATTTTTAAAAATTTTACTTTTTTGTTGTTATATACCTCTGTTAATCTTAAAAATTTGGATACCTTCACAAACTCTGCACAAAAGTAATGTTTGGGTGTTATGGTATTCAGTGGTTTTAGCAAGTTAGGCAAGGAGTGTATTTATATATGTACTTATATATATATATATATATATATATATATATATATATATATATATATATATATATATATATATATATATATATATATATATATATATATATATATATATATATATATATATATATATTCTTTTCTTTGAACCAAGAAAAATTAATTTTTTATTTTATGCGTTAAAATTTAACATAATCACAGAATCACAGTTTTTATCTTTTGATTACAATTCAATTGCATATGCCTAAAGATTGGAAAAATGAAAACAAATTTCTTTAAATTCTGAAAAATTGGGACTTAACACATTGTTGAAATTGAGGTCTTAAAAAAATTTATGTTGAATTAGTGCTATATTAATATGAACTCAGCAGACATCAGAGAATGAAAAAAAATGTTTGTAAATGTTTTGTTTTAATTAGGACATCCTACCCCAGATAGTGGGGTTTTTTGTACAGTTATATTATGCTTTTTCTGTGTGTTTTCGAAGGAATTTTTCTTCTATTTGGTCTGAGAGCCTTTATAGAGCACTTGAACATTTATTAAAAATAATTTCTAAAAACTGAATTACTTTATATAAAAATGTTAAAGGGTTAACTTAAAATAAAAAAAAATAAAGCATCTAAAATTACTCTGATGTGTTCAAACCTTTAATTTTAATTAAATCAAAAGTTATGCACACAAACTTTTTTTTGAGCTGTTGATGTTAGCATTTAAATTAAACATTGAATTTTTTTTGTTCAAAAAAACAATTAAATTTTTTAGGATTCATCTTTATTTTAATAGCTTGTTTTGTTTTGACTTAAAACAGTATTTTAGAGTGAAATAAGGTAAAATATTGTTTTAAACCAAAAAATAAAACAGTACAGATGTTAAAATAAAACAGTGCAACCTCAAAGATGTTTGAAGTGGGCAATTGTATGCCGACCTCAAACACTTTGAGGTCGGCATACAATTGAAACTGAATGTCAACCCTAATTCCAAAGGCTGTATGTATATATATATATATATATATATATATATATATATATATATATATATATATATATATATATATATATACATTATATATATATATATATATATATATATATATATATATATATATATATATATATATATATGTATATATATATGTATACATATATATATATATATACATATATATATATATATATATATATATATATATATATATATATATATATATATATATATATATATATATATATATATATATATATATATATATATATATATATATATATATATTAGTAATTTCCTTAATAATTATAGTTATTAAGGAAAAATATGCATGTAAAATATTTTTTATATGTATGTTTTCATGTATGTAAAAATTTGTTTCAAGACATTCCTATGTCCTATCAAAATTTCTATAATTTCCATGGTTCACCAAAAGAGTGTTTGTATTATTTTATTTGTATTATTACTGCTAATTGTATTTTGAAGCTTTTAATTTTAAAATCAGCTTTATAAAACAGAGGTTTAATCAACCTGACTATAAGATATATTTTGATTATAAGTTCTTCTCAAGTTGACAAATAGGGAAAGCTAGGAAAATCAATTGCAATCAACTTGTCACTTTTACAGTCAAGAAGTTAAAGGGATCCTAAAGTGCCGAGACAAGTTGTGTTTATTTTGAAGAGAATGATAAAAAAAAAAATGTTTAGGCAGAATTTTTTTAAGTAAAACAAAATAATAAATGTATACCAACAAAAACAAACTTTGTTGTTTTACTCGAAGCTTGCTGATTCCACAGTAGCTATTTTCGCGTTTAAGTTCAAATAGTTTTAGTAAATGATGTCTTAGTAGAATTTTTTTTTTTTTGAATCAATATTATTTGTTTTTGTTTAATTTGTTTTTTAAAGTAAGCGTTTATTATCAATCTTATGACTTTCCTATAAATTTAAAAAGAAGCTAAACAAAAGAATGTTTTTTTATAGAGTGCGCAAGAACCAAATAAATTTAAGATTTTTATGTTAAAATATAATAAATATTCAAAAAAAATTGTTGATCACCTTATTATATATTCTGAATCTTTTTTCTTTTTATGTAAACAATGTAAACTTTTTTTCTAAGCCATTTATTGCTATGAGGTATTTGTTCTCCTATCGAAATGACATTTTACAAATTCTTAAATGTTTAATTAATAAAGAATTTTTGTAAACGACAACATTTTATTAAAGATAATTGCTGAATTCTTAAACTTTTAGTTAGAAAATATTTATAGATTTTATATTTAACAAATTTACAGACAGCTTTTTTATTAACTGAAGCAATAATGTTTAATGGCAATAATTCAAGACAGGTGGTGATTAAAATAGTCAATGTGTCGCAATACGCATTAAAAAACATATTGTATTTAACACTTCCCAATTTATGTCGTATTTGGCAAGTATTTTACGTTAAAACCTGTCCCTTAAAATTACAAATCAAAAAATTACCAAAATTGACAATAAAAAGTTTTCCTTTACTATTTCAATTCACTCGATAATGCTACACTTTTTTGCAATCTTGACCAACAATTGTTCAATTTTAAAAATAAAATAAAATAATCGATACATGTTTTACAGAAAAAACTTCATTAAATATATTCTCGCATGATTAAATAAGAATTTTTAAAATATTTGTACCCGATGAAAAGTTTAGCAAATAAATGCTGTTAATTAAACTTTCATAAGGTTAACTCTTTCGCTACCAGCCGTTTTATCAAAAATCTTTATGCTGCGACCACACATTTTTATGAATAAAATTTGGAAGACATAACATTCACAACTAATTAAAATTCGAATAATAAATCTTTTTAAAAGCATAACAAACTATATAACAATAGAAAAACAAATGAATTATAAATTAAGTTTTTAACACGCATCATTTTAACATGCATAAGAAATAAAGAGTGCTTTAAACTATTGTTTACAAATAGTTTAAAGCACTCTTTATTTCTTATGCATGTTAAAATGATGCGTGTCCATAAGTCTAAAATAAAACTTATTTAATGTCTAAAAATAAGTCCAAAACAAAACTTATTTAATGTCTAAAAAGAATGTTTTTTGAGACAAACAAAAAAGTAATAATAATAATAAATAAATTTTTAATTACTTAGCTAAATACTTAAACACTTCTAAGAGTTAAAATTTACAGTGTTAACGCTTTATTATAAATTTAAAAAAAGTTTTTTTAAATCAGGATTACTCAAGATTTTTTAACATTGTCAAGTGATAACCTTTTTATAAAAACACAATGTGTTTATTTATTCTTAATTATGTAGAGAACTAATTAAACCAAGAGTGAAAACTTATGTACAAAACAAGATAAGTTGTGAAGCATAATCAAAGGTTGATACGAGTGGCTTGTGGTTAAAATTTGAAAAAATCAAAAGCTGCTATCAGCAGCTTGCGAAAGTGTTATAAAATATTTTTTTAAAAGAATCTCAATAAGGATAATAATCCTTTAATGAATAAATATACATGTAACAATAAATGAATAAATATACATGTAACAATAAATGAATAAATATACATGTAACAATAAATGAATAAATATACATGTAACAATAAATGAATAAATATACATGTAACAATAAATGAATAAATATACATGTAACAATAAATGAATAAATATACATGTAACAATAAATATTACATGTATATTTGTAACATTTAATAACAATAAATATATTATGTAACACAAAAAATAGTTTATAGCAATAGACGAAAATATATAAAATATTTTATATTTTTAATGCAAACTTAATAACTAATGCAAAGTTAATAACTAATGCAATTCTTCAGTATTTTATGATGAAAAAGAAACTTTTATATAAAATAAGTAACTAAAAAAATTCTTTAGTAATCTATAATAATATTTGAAAAAGTTTCTATAATTTGATTAAAAAAAAAAAAAGAATTTTCAGATTTCTTATCGAAATTCTACAATGACGTCATTTACTAAAACTAAATTGCCAAAACAAATTGCCCCTTTCTCATATATTATGTTTATATATATTTTGTGAAGATGCGCGCTATGCATTTATGAAAAAAATGCTTTGAATAAATAATCTTTTTCTTAAAAACAAGGAGCATTTAAAAGGAACGTCTTCAAAACAAAACTAATGATTGTGTAATTAGGATATATAATAAATCTCAGCAGGAGTAAATCAGTGCAAGAGCAGAGAAAAGCTCCTCTAAATCAAACATGGCCATGCAAGCTGTTCCTCTAAACAGCTTTTTATGAGAGCTTTTGGTTTGTGATTGAGCTATCTGTTTATTCATTAAAATAATTGCTTATTAAATACAAAGTTTATATTTGTTAGAAGCATATATTAGTTATTAGCATCCATTTATTTATTAACAACATTTTATTTATTCAACATTTTATTTATTAACAGTTTGAAAAAGAGCTGTAAAAGTTTTTCTGCTTATTAAAAATGTTTTATATTTTCTAATTGTAAAAGAATGCAGGGATTTTAAGAATTATTACAACAATTAAAACAAATAACAATTAAAATTCGAAGTTTGTAAAGATTTTATTGTGTTTATTTCCTTGAAAATGTTGCTTATTACAGACTTTATAGTTTTAACTAGGTTTATTATATTGTTTAATAAACCTAGGATGACATTTCTTTTATTTACAGAGGACATTTTGAAGAGTAAATATCATAGTTTACATGTAGTAAGTGACCAGGTTTGATATTTGACTAGGGCTGGGACCAGGTTTAATAAAGTATAGCCAGTACCGGGTTTGTGACCAGGGCTGCATAGACATTATACATCCTAAAGTATACTTTTTTTACTCAAAATTCATGTTATATTTTGTACACATATATATACATCATTATGGTCAACATAATTATCACAATCATTATTACCATCATGATCATGATCATCATCATCAATATCATCATCATTATCGTTATCATCATCAGGCTTTAGCCTTCCTCTTCTATGCTGTTTCTCTAATATAAACAATCTAGAACATTTACTTTCCTTAACTAAACCTCATTTATACAATATATAAGGCACTCTCTTCAAGTTTTTTTTACTTCTAACACTACCTTTTTCTCCTGAAGCTAACCAGTTTCAGGAGAAGCTTCAAATTCACATTTTCAGTCTCTTTACATGCTGATACCTAAGTCACTTAAATCTGTCCAAGACTATGCCTCCATTTCTTGTCTTGTTAGAGTCACACCACACATCCATCTGATCATCTCTTTTGGCAAATACTACACCATATAAATATCATCATCATCATCATCATCATCATCATCATCATCATCATCATCATCATCATCATCATCATCATCATCATCATTATCATCCTTATCATCATCATCATCATCATCATCATCATCATCATCATCATCATCATCATCATCATCATCATCTGATCATCTTCTCTTTCGGCAAATAGTACACCTTATAAATACTAAAGTTTATATATATCTTGGAAGCTTTTATTCAACAAGGTCATTAACTAAAGTAAGTCTAACATTTAATCTCTTATTCACGAGTTTGATCTTTTTCCCCAGAATAAAGCAGAGTTATTCAAAGAAATCTTATTCTAATTTGGCTCTTGAATATAATGGCCATACTCTTCCTGTCAGTTAAATAGATTAACTCATTGTTAAACATCCAAATCACTCTGGCTTCTAATGCTAATTCCTAATTTTTCAAAGTTAATTCTCAATTAAATACTTCTACAGTTTGCGCTTCAGACAAGATTTCCATCATAGTCTTAAAAAAGTGTTCTCCAGAACTCTCTTCAATTTTTGCTAATTTTTTAAAAAGTGCTAAGTTGTTCCAATTTTTCAAAACTCTAGAAAACACTTTGACAATTTTTCAAAACTCTAGTCTTCACTTTGTTATTAGTTTCTTTATGTAAAGGTTTTAAGATTAATTTATTTATTTCTAACTGTAGTATTAAAGTTATTTTTGAAGGCCTACACTCTTCTTTATTTCAAGTAAGTTTACCACAAGGTTTTATCTTTGCTTCTGTATTGTTTCTTATCTACTTATCTAAAATATCTTCACTTTTTGATTGCTTAAAATAAGCATTCGATTTTTAGTCTGATCTCTCTTCTGTAACAGCCTAAGACTTGCTGTGGCATATGAATTTATATTCTGGACTTAAAATCTAAAATTTTTGTTAGACAAAAAAACTCATTTATTTACTGCAAAAAAGTTAAGTTAAAAAGCAATTTTGTTAGCATTCTTATATTGACAAATAACAACCCTCTTACTCTCAGACAAAGTCTAAAAGCACATTGTAAATGTAATTAGATCTGCTTTATCTATAAAGCTTGAGCCACTCTCCCATTGTTGTAAGATTGCATTTCTTTCTTTTTTTTACAAATACCATCATGGTCAATGCTCAAACAAGCTATCATCTCTATTACAATAAACTAAAACTCATTCTTGCTTGGATTCTGATTTTACAAGTTGCATCAATTTACTGTATCTGTACTATCATACTATAAAAACTTGAATTAATCCATTTTTTTTCCTTGCTCATCAAAAAAACTCTTAGCCATCTTCATGTTTTTCTTTTATATACAACCTACAACTTTTTAAGTCTTCAGTTAACCATTTTTTACTTATATTACTTGTATTTTTACAAGGTGCTAGTGCCTATTACTAGTATTTTTACTTATTCTCCGAGTATTATTACTTATTCTCCATTTTAAAGTAACTCATATCTTATCATATCTTGTAATCTTGTTAGAAGTAAATTTGAGTTTGAAAATATATAAATATATGCCATTATTTAATAAATAATAAGTGTAAGCATAGTTTTACAATATATAAAGTATTATAATTTTTTTTCTAGCCCCGGCTATCAACCCCTGCTAAATCTTATAGTTTTGCCCGAGCTGGGTCAGGGTTTAAGAAAAGTCTCATTTTTAGCTGGGGCCAGGGCCCCGGTTACTTACTATTTACATGATTAAGTGAATCATTTCGATCAGATTGCTTGTTGACAAAAAGTAGTGCTTTCCACCTTATTTTGTAATTTGGCATAAAATTTTTTTAAATTGTTTTTTCCTTTTTCTGAAAAGGTTGTATTAAATAATATAGGCAATTGCTGATCTATATATTTTAAAGTGTATATATATATATATATCTTATTTGTTTGTTTTTGTTTTTAATTATTTTTTTTTATTAAACTTAGAATTGGTTGTCCAGGTTTTACTGAGCCAATATTAGCATCTTCTCCTGCATTAAATCCTTCTTCTAATTCACTTTACTATCCTGATCGAGCTATTTACCCATCACATCCCAGATTCAAGTAAGTTTTACTTATATGTGTTTGCATTAGATAAGCAGCTACAGCTATAATGAGCTATATATATATATATATATATATATATATATATATATATATATATATATATATATATATATATATATATATATATATATATATATATATGTATGTATATATATATATATATATATATATATAATATATATATATATATATATATATATATATATATATATATATATATATAGCTCATTATAGCTGTAGCTGCTTATCTAATGCAAATATATATATATATATATATATATATATATATATATATATATATATATATATATATATATATATATATATATATATATATATATATATATATATATATATATATATATATATATATATATATATATATATATATATATGTAAGCGTTCAATGATTATTATTATTATTATTTTTTTGATGTGAGTTTTTGGCTCACATCAAAAAAAAAATCTTTAAGTCTTCACATGAAAAAAATCTTTAAGTATGTTTACACATGAGTATTTTATTTTAGACAACTTGATCATGGCCATTTGCAATCTTTTTTATATTAAGCATTGCAGAAAAAATAAAGAAAGCAAAACTAACAAAATAGCAAATTAATATAAATTTAAATAGAAAAAAAAAAAAAAAATTCGGAGTCTTTAAATTATACGTCGGAGTCTTTAGATTATACGTCACAATCTACAGACTTTAGCGATTCCTTTGAAGCGCGTTTAATTCATAAGAGTTTTAGTATTTGATGTCACGGTAGATTTTTAACAAAAGAAAAGTGTAATTAAACAAAGCTGCGTTTTTATATTTTAGTTCAAAAAAAAAAATTTTAACATACAGCAAAACAACTTTTACAACAAATTTTTGTAAAAATCAAAAATAATAAAAGCTTTTTATTTCATAGGAGGAACTTTTTTTTTACTGATATCTTAATAATTTTTAGATTTATATATCTTACTTATAATTCTTTTGTTTTTAAATTAAAACAAATATCAAAGCTTTACTTATGAATCTTATGATTTTTATACGAGTATTTTACATTATGTAGAACATTATGTATACGGTCTCTCGTTTTTGTGCAAGAGAGCGCAGTATTATATATTCTGAATCTTACTTATTTTTATTTAAACAATGGGAACTTTTCCCATTTTCTAACTTCTCTGGTTATTTTTACGCTATGATATTTTTTGTTTGCCTGTTGAAAAAAGTATTTGTTAACAATTACTTTTAAACTGACAGTATTAATTAGAGATATTTGATGAATTGTTAACTTTTTTTATTATAAAAATTTTTGATTACGCTGATTTATTTTAAATTGCTAAATTTGTTGAATTGGATACGGATAAAAAGGGAATATCATTTTATTTTACATTTTGATTTTTGATGAAACTTTTAAAACGTCGGCAACTCCATACCAATTAGAACCTGTTAAGGTTATGAAAAAAAAGTACAAGAGTACACTAAACAATACAGTTGACAGTAGTATCAGATATGAAAATTCGTGAAAGAATATGTGAGATCCTGGTTTTGCATTAAAAGTACAATTAATAGCAACACAAGTCTGCATTATAAGTTTTGATTATAAGTTTACTGTTCAATATTTTATAACCATCAAATAAAAAACATGAAGTTTGTATATTTTCGCCCATTTTATACAACTAATATTTAACAAAAATATGGACAAATTATTATTATATAACACAATAATTAACACATTAACTAATGGCAATAATTCAAGATAAATGGTAATTTAAATTGTCAAATTGTCATAACGCTCGTTAAAAAACATATTATATTTGGTATTTCCCAATTTGTATCGTATTTGGCATTTGTCTCTTAACATGAAAAATTAAAAATTTTAAACCACAACAAATACAAATTTTCAAGCAATTTTCTCTTATAATTTTCATTTATTCAAAGGAAAGTTACTATTAAACTTTTATTTCTCTCATCTAAAAAAAGAACAAGTGACGCAAAAAAAAAAAAAATTCTATACAACTCTTATTCATTCAAAGTTTAATTACGCGAAAATTTTCTTTCTCTTTTGTTCTACTCTTTTATAAAAAGAGCGAGCAATGAAATAAAAACTTTTCTTTCTTAACATAAATTTATACTTAGAGATAAAATTAAATTAAAAATAAAACAACAATGAGCAAAGCAACTAACAGATTAATCTGGGACTATTTTGATATCAATGAAAATAATCAACATAAACAATATTACCAACAACAATTATCAAATAAACAACACAATATCGCATAATTTTAGGGGCTTTTTATTTTTATTGCTTAGTCGTTCTAAATAATAAGTAAATTTAGTTCAAGTTAATATTTCAATATTTACAGTTGCAATATAATAAAGAAATGATGTTTAATGTTGAACTTTTTATTTAATTATTTATTTTTTACCTACATTTGTTATAAAAAAACTTTTAAATCCCCGTCATTAAAATAATTTGTTTTAAATATATTTCAAAGTAATTATTCAAACTAATTTTTTTTGCTTGACTTCCCGAACTTCATGCAAAGCAAATTGAGACGAAATATTATCTAACCAAATAAAAATGCTTTTACTAATTTTATAAGGGTAATTAATGTAAAACAATTTTTTATCAGAGTCTTGATTGAGATAATAAATATTCATAATTTATAAACATTAAATATATGGTGCAATAACAATTTATAGCAACGAACCAGCATAAAATATTTTAGGTTTTTAATATCTTTTTAAATGTTTAAAATAGAAAGAAAAAAAAACTAAAATAATCAAAAAAAGTTCGAATAAAATAAATAAAAATATTACTAGAGTTTCATTTGTTAAAAGTCTACCGTGACGTCAAATACTAAAACTTTTATGAATTAAACGCGCTTCAAAGGAATCGCCAAAGTCTGTAGATTGCAACGTATAATTTAAAGACTCCAAGTTATTGAAAAAAAAAGAGAAGGCGAGCTTCGGCTAAAACAACAAGTTAGTTTTTCTCAGTATGCATTTTCGGCTAAAACAACAAGTTAGTTTTTCTCAGTATGCATTTATTATTTATTTTTATCTTTACTTAATCATATGGAACATTTTTAAGCAATGATTCTTTGCTACAGATTAAAAGTCTATCTTTTGCTTTTTTTTAAATTTGAATCAACAAGTATAAAAAAAAATGGCCATTTGGAATCTTTTTTATATTAAGCATTGCAGAAAAAACAAAGAAAGCAAAATTAACAAAATAGCAAGTTAATATAAATTTAAATAGAAAAAAAAAAAAAAAAAAATTAATAATTTGAATAATTTGTGTTTTTTTTTTTTTTTTTTTTTTATTTCTTTAGAGTGGTTGTAATTTTTAGCAACAAAATTAGATTAAAAATTGGAAAAAGCAAAAAAAAAAAAGTAGTTTTAAGTCATCATTAAAAATGATTTTCGATGTTTTATTTGTTTTTTGCGAAAATATAAATTGCTATCTGTTTGTAACATTTGTATAATTTTAATGTAACATCTTATTTTAATGTATTGTCCCTATATGAAAATGCATGCATATACTTTAATGTATAACTTTTATCATATAATTTTTTTGTTACATAAGTATATGCATATTTAGATTTTTTGGATAAGGTATTTACTTCATACACATAATGTCTGTAGTTTAAATCCCACCTCTTCTCAATTATTTTTTTTCCACCTGTCCCTACATGACACAAATTGTTTAAAATATTAATTTTTTTTTTTAATTTAGGTTCACATTAATTTCCTATTTTGTTAGTTTTTCTTTCTTTGTTTTTGAAACTTTTTCCGCAATGTGTAATATAAAAAAGCTAGCAAATGGTGTGACTAAGTTGTCTAAAATAAAATACTCATGCGTAGACATACAATACCATAACCGCACACGTTTCCTGGGAAGGCTTAATAAATAAATTTTAGTAAAAATAATATGTAATAAATTTTGAAATTTTAAAATGAATTATTATGAATTTTTTTAAAGTTTAATAAAGGGAAAATTCATTAGGGTGATTAATCAAATGGTAAATTCCTTACTAAGTTATTGCAAATTGTGATGTCTTATTTTTTTAAAATAAATTTAAAATGATATCATTTTTTTTTAACATTTGTATTTTTAGCACTTTGATTATCCCGCAAGTTAAATGCACAAAAAAGTTTTTTATAATTGTTTTTTTTTTTCAAAAGAGAATAGTTTTTCATTTCTGAAATTTTAGGTGGGAAATTTACTTTAGAAACAGTCCAATTTACTGAGGAATAAATATTGATTTTAAACAATTTTTAATTGGTGCATGTGCAATTATTTAATAGTCATATGTATAAACACAAATATTTTGTTAAGTTTGGCATATTTATGAAAATTAAATTAAAATTTTATTCCTGAAAACTGTTAAAACAATAATAAAACTTTTTTAACTTAATAAATGTTAATTCTTATATAATATACTATGTTTTTAATATGATAAATATTTTTTTTTAATTTTTAAAACTTGAATTTAAAGGACTCTAACAAAAAACATACGCAGCAGAAGGGGATCAAGACCAAGCATAAATATACCAGGTTTTTACATATTGTGAATTTATATACTATTTTACATTGGTTTTATACTATGTTAACTCTGTGTGTATATTCAAAAAACATGTATTTTTGAGACATTGATAACTCTTTAAAAGTCTGCTTAATGTCATACTGGCTTAAGGTTTTTTTAGCAAAAAAATAAATACTCAACAACTGAGCTTAATAAAATGTAGTTAATCTTTGACTCACTATTGTAACATATATATGTATAACATACATAGTTATATAACACACATAGTTATATGATAGCACACATAGTTATATGATAACACACATAGTTGTAAGATGACACACATATTTGTTAAATGACACACATAGTTGTAAGATGACGCCAATAATTATATGATAACACACATAGTTGTATGATGACACACATAGTAATATGATGTAAAAATATACTTAATGGCTATTATGATGTTCAAGTTTTTTTATTAGTATTTAGAGATATAAATACACCTGAACCATATAACCAAGATATACCTAATGATGATGGTGAAGCCAAATTAGCTGTTTTACCAAATCATGTATACATGGACTGCATGGGATTTGGTATGGGCTGCTGCTGCTTACAAGTGAGGAATATTTAAGAATAATAATTTTAAAATTTTGAAATATTTGTATTTAGTTTATGAATATTTAATTTATTAAATTTGATGTTATATTTTATCATCAGTTAATAAGTTGATACATGTGAAAATAAAAATTTAATCAAAAAATAATAAGGGGTCGTCCATAAATTGTCACGCTTCAGGGGGAGGGGGAGGTGATTTTGTGACAATTTGTTACAAGGGGGAGGGGGTCTCGATTTTGTGACAGCATTTTTTTTTTTAGAGAAGAGGTTCTTTTAATTAAAAGAGTATCTGACTAAACCAAAACCTCAGTTGATGTATCTACATGTTGATTGTAAAATTAACTACGCCTAAATCTTACTTAGTAGATGTGTACACTCTGTTACAGCCTGTTATGGCTGTTTGTGCAGTGCACGTTCTGCCCTTTGAACTTTATTTAATTGGTGCACAAAAGTGTGCATCAACAAAAAAACAATCTTTATGCAACAACTAAAAAAAACTTTTCAATACCGAGAAACGAACCTGGAACCTTCGGTTTACTAGCAGGAGGAAGAATCCACGAGACCATGCTTACGTTGCTAGTTGGAAGAAAATTGCATCAGAGAATTATAGACATATTTAAAATCGTTTTGTATTTTTTAAAATTTTGCACCCCCTCCTATCCTCTCTAAAAAAAACTTTTAAAAATTTTTAGGGGGAAGGGGGTTGAAAATTGTTGCATAATATTGACGACCCCTAAAGTAGAAAATAAAGATTTTTTTTAAAATTGGTTTTACTTTATGCAATGGTGTTTTTATTATTTTTTAATACAATTTTTTTTTTTTTTTTTTTAGCAAAAATTAAAAATCTTTTGTGAATCCAGTTTAAACAAAACCTTTTTATTTTGTGAGATGGCCTAACTTCCATAGTTTAGCCTTTTTATAATGGCTTGTGATTTTTGATATTATTTATACAATAACAAATAATTTATTATTTAATTTTTTAAATGATTATTTTAACCATTTTTAATAAATTTTATTTCTTCAAAAATAAATTTATATAGTTTATAAGTTATTAGTTTAAAAAAATTGACTTAAGTTTATTTGTTCAATAAGTACCAATTTTAGTGACTTGTTGTATTTATAATAGAGTTTTATCTAACAGCATTTATCACATGAAGTGTATAGTGAAGTTAAGTATTTAGTAGTTTTCTATTATTATATAATAATTTTTATTATTTTATATTATTGTTTATATTTTAATCTATTGTTTTTTGTCATTTGTATATTTGTATGTATGTATGTATGTATGTATGTATGTATGTATGTATGTATGTATGTATGTATGTATGTATGTATGTATGTATGTATGTACATCTACCTCATGTAGAAATTCATGTCACACCATAAAGCCACAATAAATTTATTTGCAAAAGTTGCTTATATCTGAAAATCTAAAGTAGTAGTAGTAGTAGTAGTAGTAGTAGTAGTAGTAGTAGTAGTAGTAGTAGTAGTAGTAGTAGTAGTAGTAGTAGTAGTAGTAGTAGTAGTAGTAGTAGTAAGCAATAATAGTAGTAGCAGTAAGCAGTAATAGTAACTGGTAAGTAGTAGTTGTAGTAGTCGTTGAATCAGACTTAATTGGAAATTTATAAAAATAAATCCTGATAAATAACATGGAGAACAAGCTTTAAAAGTTTTTGAAAAAAAGGCAATGTTTTGTTTTTAATTTTTGTATAAAGACTATATGAAAAATAACTAGTAGAAAAAAATATGAAAATAGTTACACTTATGTGCAAAAAAATTTATGAAATTAGTCATAGTTACGCATATGCTCAAACATAATTTGTGAGTCTAGTAGTAAGTGACTGGGGTTGATATTTGACCAGGGCTGGATTTGTAAAAAGATTTTGCCAGTCATTTACTAGAGTCTAGTGAGCATATGTAAGCAAGGGCCGTGGGTGGGGGAGGGTTGGTGTGGGTTTAGATGGTAGGAAATTAAAATTTTACTTTAGTCCTCTCACATGTACTTACATATATTCTCACATGTACTTTAAATCATTATTTAGCATTATTTTTAACATTTCTGTTAATGTATTATATATCATTTTTTAATATAATAATTTAATATAAGGTTTTTTATAAGAAAATAAATTCTTAACTCTGATATGAACATTTCTGTTAAAAAACTGTTACTACAAAAATGAACAGCAGGTTTAATTCCATGTAGGGTTTTTCACAAAAAGGTTTATCTTTGTGTGGCCACTTAAAGATAAACCTTCTTATGAAGTGTAACTTTCGGAATTGACATAGTGCAAATTTACATTTGTGAATTCTCGATTTAAGTCTTGTTCCTTATTTGATGAATTTACTAATGGTTGCCAATGATCAGAGTGAGTTTACAGAAAATCAATAAAAATGCCAGGTTAAGAACTTTGTTTGTTTGCCACTTTAAAAATAACATGCTTTCACTTTTTTTACTGTTGACATCATGTGATATAATATTCAAAACTTGATTATTTTTCGCTTATGGCAATTCGCAAAAAGTTTAAATGAATCCGACATTTTGCTGCAGCGAAATGCTGTATCAGCATAATTGCCAGAAATCTTTCATATGCGCTTGCTTATCGACAGAAAAATTCGCTTTGCGCGAATATTCCATCTTGTGGAAAATGACCTTAAGCTTTCATAATGAATAATACTTTAGATTGAGATATTGGTTTACCCCATCAAATAAGCATTTAGCTTAAACCTTTAAAATTATTATATAGATATATTTGTTTAGTATTACTTTTACTAAATTAGGTTACATTTCAAGCTTGCAACATAAAAGAAGCCAGGATGCTTTATGATCAACTAACTGTTCTTGCTCCAATTATGGTATGTTTACTTTAATAAACTTTTATAATCAAATAATTGGTAGATTCAATATTTTTATGGAAATGTTTTTAATGTTATATAGTTTGTTTTATTTGTTGTAGTTAGCTTTAAGTGCAGCATCTCCAGCATTTCAAGGTATGCTAACAGATATTGATGTTCGATGGGGAGTCATTAGTGCATCTGTAGATGATCGCACTAAAGAAGAAAGAGGAGAATTGGTATTTCTTTTTAAATTGATCATTCACAAATTTAAATGCAAAACAAATAAAATGAAAACCACTCTGTATTTTGGTAAAGTAATATTATTTCATAGGTATTAAGATTTAAGTACTCAAATAATTTAATTAAATTAATTTATGCCTAAATAAATTTTTATTTTTCAAGAAAAGACTATAAGATGCAAGTCTATGTATGTACTGAAGTCCCTGCAGCTATCTGTTTTATATATGTATGTATGTATGTATGTATGTATGTATGTATGTATGTATGTATGTATGTATGTATGTATGTATGTAAGTATGTATGTATGTATGTATGTATGTATATACATACACTTTACACTAAAGCTTTAGTTTTTTTAGGAGACTGTAATTTCTTTTTGTGTTAACTGAAAATTTTAAAAAGTGGACTAAGCATTTTAGTGCTTTAGTAAGATATCAAAATATATGCTGTACTTTCATTTTTTTTAAGTGCCTCAATCCAGGCACTTTTTTTTGAGAAAAAGAACAATGTAACAAATTTGCTTGTCTATATGATATCATTTGTAATGTTTATATGACTTAATAATTAAATTAAAATTTTTTAGTTATTAAAAATAATTAAGTTAAAAGTAACAGTCAATATTAAATTATTCCATGAAGCGATTGTATTTTTAAATACTTAAAACAAATATTTTAGTGGCAATTAGAGACCTTTATATTCTGTGTAAAAATAATTTTTTATTTATACCGGGAATAAAGAAGTTTATTATTTGTTTGTATTTTTTTATTCTTAATTATAATTTATATTCTAAACTCTTTTTGTCATATTATAATAGTAGTTGTTGTATTGTATAAATTTGAATCATAGTTTCAAAGGTTAATAATCTACTAATTTTTTTTTTTTTTTATAGCCACTTAAAAATGACAAATTTCGAATTCCCAAATCTCGATACAGCTCGGTGGACATGTATATTTCTGAATGTTCATCACATTTAAATGACATTCCTGTTAACTATGAAGAAGAACATAAACAAATGTTAATAGATGCTGGTAAGTGTTGTTGTGCTCTATTCTATCAATTTTTTGTTGAGAAATTTATTTTATATCTAATTATATTTTAGGCATTGATGAAACACTTGCTATTCACATTGCTCACCTGTTTATTCGTGATCCTGTGTCACTTTTTGCAGAAAAAATTAATCTTAATGATGAAGTTGATACTGACCATTTTGAGGTAAATATACTTTGTAAAATATAATATTGTATAAGTCCAGATAACAAACAAACCTTTTAATTTAATATTTAATGGATATTAACTTTCATAATCTGTTATACTTTAGAGTATTAAGATATACAAATTTGATATGTTTTAGAATATTCAATCAACTAACTGGCAGAGTGTTCGCTTTAAACCTCCTCCCTCAAACAGTAAAATTGGATGGCGTGTAGAGTTTCGTTCAATGGAGGTAATATTTTATATACTAAACTTTAGTACTATTTCTAAACATTGTCTCAAGTGTCTATGAATATTAGTAAAAAATATGATATAATACAATATTTTTTTTAGGTTCAACTTACTGATTTTGAAAATGCAGCATATGTTGTCTTCATTGTTTTACTTACAAGAGTAATTCTTTCATATAAGTTAAACTTCCTTCTACCTATATCTAAGGTGAATTTCTTTTTCATACCTTTATATTATGCAAAATAATTTCTTTAAATTTCTGCATGATTATTAATTATAGATTTATTAGATAGAATATTTATTATAGATAATTATAAATTTTATGCATGATTAAAATTATAGATAGATAATTAATTATAAATATTTTAGTTATAAATATTATTTTATTTTAATTATAAGTAATTATGATAAATATAAATTATAATTATAGGTAGATAATTATAAATTTTATGCATTATAATTATAGGTAGAAGAAAATATGAAAAGAGCTATGAAAAGAGATGCAGTCAAAAAAGAACTTTTCTACTTTAGAAACACTACATCATATGGTATAAATTATTATTGTAATTTTTCAAATAATATTTCAGGCTGATGTAACTTATATATGTTTATATATAATTTATATATTCCGTTTTCATAGTCTTTAATATATGTAAACTATTGTATTCAAAATGTTGAATCTATTTATTTTAATGTATTGCATTAGATGCATCAGATGAACAGGTTGAATTGACTATTGACAGCATTATTAATGGACAGGTAATCTACTAAAACCTTTTTTTGTTTAAAAAAAAAAAAAAAAAGGAGTTTTATAAGAGGATTCTGCTTTTGCTTAAGGATAATGGATTTCCTGGTTTAATATCGTTGATAAGAAGTTACTTAGACTCCATAGATGTTGATATAGATGTAGGATGTACAATAAAACAGTACTTATGTTTCATAAGCAGAAAAGCTTCAGGTAACATGCTTATATCCTATATTTAGTATAATTAACTGAAGGCTTTTTTTTTCAATTTTGATTTAAATTTGAGGCTTACTTTTTTATTCAGGGTTTATTTAGATTCACCTTTTTATATAATCAACATAGGCTAGCGATTTTCATTTACATATCTCAATCGTCTAATAGTTTTTTATTTGCTCACTTTGTTACAAAAACTCCCCATTAAAGCATCTCTCTATTAAAACAAAAGTAAAGAAGAAAAAAAATAAATTTTATAGTCAATTATTTGTGTAAATCTCTTTATTTTTAGGTAACCTGCAGACAATGGCATCTTATATGCGAAATTATATTTGCTCACATCCAGAGTATAAAAAAGATTCATTTATTCCCGAAGCAATTATGTATGATTTAAGTGTGCATCTAGATAAAGTATCTCAAGGAAAAATTGGCTGTCCTTCTTTATTTGGCAACCCTAGCACAAAAAGTTTAAATGTCACTCCTCCAAACTGTGTTAAAGTGTCCGAGGAAGTAGAGGAGCTTACTAAAAAAATTCTTAGTGTAAAAAGAATAAATGAAGATAAATTAGAAGAAAGGGATACTTTACAAGATAATCTTACACGATCTCTAGGTGTTGATGTTATTATCGATTCAAATTTGCAAATGTAAATGGAGATTCTTTCCTAAATATTTTGCGTTAAACGCATCTAGTTGCTGGCCATTGTTTGTTTTATTTGTTTTCACTGGCATAATTTCAATTATTGACTTAGAAAGCATTAGAAGAATAACTTGTTTCATATTCAAAAGAAGACATTTTTTTATAACTTATTTTACAATAGAATTTAGCTATTTTCATTTTATATTCAATTTTTGACTTTTTTAAACTTGCAATATTTTTTAAAGTGAAAATTAAAAATGAATTTAGAAATATAAAATATAGTTTTTAAACAAATATATATTTGATCGCTCTTTAAAGCTGATGATTTAAAACTAGAAGGATTGGTGCTTCCATGGTAACATATTTTTGTGACATAGCGGGCACAAATTAGGTTATTGAAAAACAGTATTATGTTTATTATTTTATGATTTCACGAGATAAGAAAAAGTTGCTAATTTTCAAAAGTCATGTTAACCTCTTACAAGAAGTAATAATTATAAGTTTCAAAAAAATGAAAAAAATTGACTTTTTAAAACTTGTTTTCTTTTTAAGTTAATCTAAAATTATTAAGAACCAGATTAATCTTTTTTAAAGAGATTTATGTAAAAAATAATATAGAAAATTTAATTTCGATACAATCCCCAGCTGTAAAAAAAAAAAAAAACACTATCAGATCAAACACACTTTTATTTACAAATAACTATGGATGCACCGATGCTGATTGGTACAGGCTGATACCGACCTTAAATTGGAATTTGTACTCTTTTCTTATATATATATATATATGTGTGTGTGTGTGTGTGTGTGTGTGTGTGTGTGTGTGTGTGTGTGTGTGTGTGAGAGAGTCAATTTTAAACATTAAAATTGACCGTTAACATTATTTTTGAAAAAATTTCTAACTATTATCTAGGAATTAATCATGGAAATGAAATTGAGTATAAATAAATTAACGATAAGTCTAATATCTATTTAGTCTATTTTGATATAGATAAAAATAAACATTCAAAACCAATTTGTTAAGGCGAGTTTCCACTCATCCGTTTTTTTACGGGAACGGGAAAGGGTTGGGAAAAATAATCACGTGGGCATGCGTAGTATAAGTTTTAATATGTCCAACTCATCTTTTTGTATAGTTTGGATGTATAAGTCACATAATTGCTTTCTTAAGTTTTAAAAAAGACACCAAAAGTTTAGATAATCCATGAGAAAAAACAGCTTAAAAATTATTTAAATGTTTAGCATTGTAGATATGCAACCGTAGCGCAGTTGTTAGCGCTTCCTTCATAAGCAAGAGATCTGTGGTTCAACACCACCTCACGGCAAGTTTTATAACATCGGTAAGGAAGAGAGTCGTATTAAAAATTTATTAAAATTATAAACAAGTAATTGTGTAATTTATATAAATTTAAAGTTATGTAAAAAATTATTTCATATTGCACGTAAACAAATTTTATAATCTTCTAAATTAAAAGATGATTGCTATTGCGTAATTTAATTCATGTCACTTTTAAATCACTTTTAAATTTATAATATAACACAAGATTAATATCATTACCAAACATATATTATAATAGATAACACATCCAAGTTGTATTGCAAATAAAAATTTTATAAGAAATTAAATACCTATTTCCTTTCAACATATAACCGTCAAAAAGGTGTCTCAGCATACTTCTAATCTAGATATATCTAAAGCACAACAAAAGAATAAGTAAAGATAACATAATTTTTTTCTGATTTTTAATGATGATACTGATATATGTAAAGACTTTAACTACGCTATTTTTAACAACATTTTTCCAGACCTATTAAGAAACGCAGATATTATTCCAATACACAAAAAAAAAATTCCAGAGCAGATAAAAGCAACTACATGCCAATTAATCCGACCTATCTAAGTTATATGAAACATTTATGTATGCAGTCAAAACCATTGATCACCAATGGCATACTTAAATCTATTTCCATTAAAAACAGACTATATAAAAAATGCACAAAATATAAAGATATCAGTACTAAAAATAAACTGTTCTCTAAATTTAAATTTTATAGAGACAGAATCAGCAATCTACTAAAAATAAGTAAAAAATCCTATTACACAATCTATTTTAGTAAAAACTTAAACAATATTAAGAATACATGAAAAGGGATAAAACAAATCATTAATATAAAACCTTCCTCCTATAATTCAACTCTCAATCTTAAATTGAAAGAAAATATTATCACAGATCAAATTACTGTATCGAATATGTTAAACAACTTTTTTGTTACTATCCAAAACAAACTTTAAAAAAACCTTCAACATCCAAATTTACTAACTATATCAACTTTCCAAATTCTAAATCGTTCTTTATTGATCCTGTCACAGAGAATGAAATCTCTAATCTTATTAAAACAACCCTTAGAACTGGAAAAAGCTTTGGTCCTAATAGCCTTCCTTCATTCCTTCTTAAACTTATTCCAGACAATTTCTAAACCTCTTAGTGTTATTATAAATAACTCATTTCAAAATGGTTTATTCTCAGATGCTTTCAAAGTTGCTAAAGTCATTCCGGTATTTAAAAAAAGTTCTACAATGGATATGTACAACTACCGTTTTATCTCTCTTCTTTCAAGCCTAAGCAAACTCTTTGAAAAATCTATGTATAAGAGGCTCTATCCATTTTTGAACAAATTTAAATGTCTTTACAAACACCAGTATGGGTTTCGTGCTAATCATTTCACAACTCACTCACTTATTAAAATTACTGAGTCTATTGTAAAAGCTCTTGACGATAAAAACTTTGCATGTGGTGTCTTTGTAGATCTACAAAAAGCTTTTGATACAGTCCTCTTAAATGGTTTACTTTATATCTTCACAACAGATCTCTGTTTGCCTCAGTCAATGACTCAAAATCTACTCAAATAAATTGTTCCAATGATGTTCCTCTAGGCTCAGTATTACTACTTTTTCTTCTATATATTAATGACCTTTATAACTCAATTAAGTTTGCAACTCCTTATCACTTTGCTGATAATACTAACTTGCTCATTACCAATAAATTTAAAAAAAAATTAACAAATACATTAATCATGATCTTGCCAATTTAGTTCTCAAATAAACTTTCTCTCAACTGTAGCAAAACTAAACTGCTCATATATAAATCTAACAAAACAAAAATCAATAAAAATTTAAACTTTAGATTAAGTGGCCAGAAAATCATTCCTGTAAACTCTATCAAAAATTTGGAATTATAATTTATTGCAACCTAACGTTTGTGTCCCATATTAAAAACTTAGCCATAAAATTGAGCAGATCAAATGGAATGCTGGCAAAAGTTCGCCATTATGTTAATCTGGAAACACTATTAAATATATATCATGCCATTTTTGGCTCACATATACGATATGTTTATCAAATATGGGTACAATTTCAACTTAAGCAGTTTTAAGGATATCACATCTTCAAAACAAAGCTTTAAAAATAATACAATTTCAGAATTATAAGTTCAATCCTAATGTGCTTTATCTTACTTCTAAGATCTTTAAACTATTTGACCTTGTTCAATTCTTGAATTGCCAGTTTGACTGGAATTACCAACACAAAAACCTACCTCTTACCTTCAACAATTTCTTCCTAAAAAATGCAAATAACCGTTACTATCTTCAATCAATTGATAATCTGAATCTTGCAGTCTTAAAACATCGTTCTGTTACTAATGGATATAAGTCCATAAAAAACCAAAGTATAAAATCTTGTAATAACCTTCCCTATGACCTAAAAGTTCTCCATTCAATCTATATTTTTAAGAGTAACCTATTCCATTCTTTCCTAATCAAATACAATTAATAAATCCAAAGATATGTATTTGTGTTTAAGTGTTTGTGATACACACATGTGAATAAGTGGTGAGTGTATATGTTTGTATGTGTATATGTATGCATGGATGTGTATGTCTGTATGTGTATCTGCATGTATTTATATGTGTATGTGTATTTGTATATATGCGGAATTTTGTTGACAAGTGCCATTTTGCAGCGGACAAAACAAGTGCAACTTTTTTTGTTTTATTTTCTCAAGTCTGGTTCGTGTCAACGTCACGGAAGTTTTTTTATAATTAAAGAAAGTATCCAGAAGTTCCAGAAATATCTAGAAGCATGCAGAAGCTTCCAGAAGTTTCCAGAAGAAGCATCTGGAAGCATCCAGAAGCTTTCAAAAGCATTAAAAAGAAGCATCTAGAGTTTTCCAAAACAGGTTCACACAGGTTCATTTTACTATATAAGAGACATCAAGACTATGTTCCAAATATCATTCTACGGGGAGGTTGGCAGCAGATAACAAAGGTAGAAGACCGCGTTCCACCACTTTTAGAGAGGATTCTATGATCGTCGGATCCATCAAGAAAGATCCCTGGATATCATCAGTTGAGATACAAAAGCAATTAGAGCTGCCTGTATCGGACCAAACAATTAGACGGCGTGCTGTTAAATTCGGATTGTTTTCTCGACGTCCTGCAAAGAAACCGCTGATTTTACTAAAGAACCAGAAGAAAAGACTCTTGTTTGTGTATATATATATATGTTTGTGTATATATATATGTTTGTATATATATATATATATATATATATATATATATATATATATATATATATATATATATATACATATACATATATATATATATATATATATATATATATATATATATATATATATATATATATATATATATATATATATGTTTGTGTGTATATGGGTTACATATTGAAAAAACCCACGCGTATCCCATGTGGGAATTACCATATGGAACCCATATGGGACAAAATAATAATCCCCACATGGGTTACATATGGAAATAACCCACGCATATCCCATGTGCGCTTTTTCACTGGGCAGGAGTGATTCCAACAAAGATTAATTGGTTAAGTTGGCGATCAGATTCTCAAAAAATATTGGTGATTTGAATTAACAGCAGAAACTGATAGTCACATTTTGGCTGAATATATTACCAGCAAGGATGCATATTCAAAACGTCGCAACTTGCTTTGTGATAAAATTTTCAAAGAGTTAAAACTCAATGGGGCGAGAGGATGTGACTCTTTGGGAATGGCAGGCGTTACAAGTCCTATATGTTTGTAAAAGATGACGGTGTGATTACCAATATGGCATTTCCGTACAAGAAATTGGAAAGACAGTGGAAAATGCTGAAATTGCTAAGTGCAAGTCTTTCAGGTTTTATTGGATTTTTAGGAGTTGGACTCAAGAACTTGAGGGGAACAACGGCAGACGTGCTAATGAAATATTAGTTGTAGAAATTGCAGTAGGGGTGATTAGAACAATTACGCGTAAAACCCAGCGGATACTTAACAAGTTAAAGCTGGCCAAGATCGGAAGATTGTTACAAACAGTTGCATGTAATGAAAGCGCCTAAATTGTAAAGCGATATTCTTAGGAATCAAGATAAAGATTTGCGGCAAACACCGTTAAAGGTACACTTTCTTCTGTACTTATATTTTCGTTATATTTAATTTCTATTTTAAAAAACTTTTTTGTCATACAACTAAAAAGGTTTTTTAAAATATGATGAATTTTCTTTTAGTGAAAAAAAAAAATTCATCATATTTGACGTAATTCTAATTTGACGACACGCTTTGACCTAGAAACGTTCTCCAAGTAACGACTTAATTTCTAAAGTGTTGAAATTTTTTTTTTTTTAACGATTCTTTAAATTTATTCGAGCAGACTAAATCTCTATTCGAATAAATATTTCTAGTTATTGACATTGTTTCTAGTCTTTAAGAGTTTGAATCTATAAACATTCAAAACTACTAAGAATAGAGTGCGGTATCCCCCAAGGACTTTCTTAGACCCCTTTTGTTTTTTTTTATATATTAACGATCTTACAAAAATCTCAACAAAACTTAATGTAATAATGGCGATGACGAATATTTCATTTCTCGGACTCAATCAAAGACCTTTACGAATGTATGAACAAAGAGCTTGAAAGATGAAGCATCTAGTTAAAATTAAGTAAGTTATCGCTAAAAAAAAAAAAATACAAAATACATATTGTTTCATTCCGAAAAACAAAAAATAATATTCCAACTAAACTTCTCATACTAAAAACAGATAAAGTAAACATTAAAATAACAGAAAAAAATTTTTGTTACAGGATAATCATAAATTTCTTTATTTTTCTTACACGTACGCTTATATTTTATAGACAAGTACACACAAATTCAAATTGAATACTCTTTATATAAGTCCAAAACATGGATCAAGGTGAGTTTATAATAAAGATAAACTCACTCATGTTGAACCCTTACTAAAAACCTTGAATGCACTAAATGTTTACCAAATCAACATCTCCCAAATTATTCTATTCATGCTTAAATACTTATTTAAATAAATACATACTTAAATATCTTGGACTAGTCCTATCGCATTTTTTAAATAACTTTTTTTTTTAAATTAACTCTAACAAATCACAAAGGAAACAGGGAACTTCACATTGCCTAAAAGAAAACAAAATTCTCACGATTTCTATCTTCTACCGGGGTTCGTACCTATATAATAAAAGAAATACCCAAGGTAGTTAGGATAAAAATGCACAAGCACGTAGAGCAACTTGTTGCACATATGACGGTTGAGCAATTAGCTCAATGAGTACATGTCAAGATGGTCGGGAATATAATAAGTGGAGCTGTATTTCCAGACAACTTATGTGGTTTCGCGTGCGGTGGATATAACACCTGGTATAAAATGTAAAGGATTCAATCTAGCACATGGGAGCGAATTAATAGTTATACATGTTATACATAATATACATACAAGTTATACGTAATATACATTGCAGCGAATTGTTGTTGGTAATACGACGCCGCTGTAAAGTCAAGGAATTGATTAGAGGGCACCACGAGGAGTGGAGTCTACGGCTTTATTTGACTTAACACGGGAAAAATTATATATATATATATATATATATATATATATATATATATATATATATATATATATATATATATACACACACACACATACACAAATATATATATAATATATATATAAATATATTATATATATATATATATATATATATATATATATATATATATATATATATATATATATATATATATATATATATATATATATATATTATATATATATATATATATATATATATATATATATATATATATATATATATATATATATATATATATATATATATATATATATATATATATATATATATAAAAGGGTCTTTACTATCTTAAAAATTTTAATTAGTTAAATAATGTACAAGTATTTTTCTGATGCAGAGTGAAATAAAAGCAGAGTTGCCATTTATGTAAACAAAAATGTAATGAATATAGAAATTATAAATCAGCAACTATATACATCGTTGAAAAAATTCAAAGACAAAAAAACTAACAGATAGCTAAAGCAAAAAGTTAACTTTGTAATATAAAAAATATTAATTTTGTAATATAATGTAATAAACTACTACAGTAAAATATTTTTTTGCTTACATCAATAATTTTACAATTGCATAAAATAATTGTTTCAAATACTGGACGTACCAAAGTTCACACTGCAAATCGAGATAACGAGTCTGTTGAAAAATATAGTTTAAGTGAGTTAATTGAGAATTGAATTATAACGCAAACACCAAACGATTTTAAGATGGTATTTCAGGGCTCGCAAACTAAACCAAAAAAACGTAAGACAAATTATCAAAAAATAATAACTATCATTAAAAAAAACGACAATTTTAAAATGTCATTAAAATAACAAAAATTTACTGAAGAGATATATTTGTTGCCCCGATATTCAACTATGCATCTCTATAAAACGTTTTATTTGTGTTAAAATTTATGAAACTTAATACTGAAGCCAAAAGTTGTGGCCTACATTAAAAAGCAAACATGTATGGTCTTATTTTAAATAGAATTAAATTTCATTTTAACTTTATCTTTGTGTACCCCACTCGTTCAAAAAAGTTTCTCAACATCATGAATAAAACGATAACCAAATCTCGACCGAAAATCTTTGAGGACTCCCATAGACACACGAAATTATCTTTATACCCTCTGTCTTTTATATATACCCATTATCAGATGAGGTAATAGACTATTATAAGAACACAGCTTACAATCAAGAGGTTCAATGTCCAATCATCCTACGCCTCTGAAAGTACTGCGCCCAGTACTTGTGTCTCTGAGGCTTTATTTAATAAGATTTGTGTTTTAGAGTAACCTAGTAACCTAAAATAATATAAAGACAGATGTTTTAACATAATTATCACCTTCTACAGGGATTATATAAAAAAATATTATTATTTATTCAACAAAATTGTTTTTGAAAAGCTTTTCATATATTCTTAATATAAAAAATGATAATAATAGACAGATATTGTAGCATAATTATCCTGCCAATACTATTAACTTTAAAAAAATAGGTTTTTGAAAACTTTTAAAAAGATTTGTGAATGTGCATTACAAACATTTTAAGTTAACATATATAAATATAAAAAAAATTTGTGATTGTACGTTACAAACATTTTAAGTTAACATATATAAATATAAAAAAAATTTGTGATTGTACATTACAAACATTTTAAGTTAACATATATAAATATAAAAAAGATTTGTGATTGTACATTACAAACATTTTAAGTTAACATATATAAATATAAAAAAGATTTGTGATTGTACATTGCAAACATTTTAAGTTAACATATATAAATATAAAAAAAATTTATGATTGTATATTATCAGAACAATTCATGGCTTATTAATGTTTTTTTCGAGAAATTGCTTACCAAAACAACTTATGGCTTATTAATGTTTTTTTTGAGAAATTGCTTACCAAAACAAATTATGGCTTATTAATGTTTTTTTTGAGAAATTCCTTACCGAAACAATTCATGGCTTATTAATGTTTTTTTTGAGAAATTCCTTACCGAAACAATTCATGGCTTATTAATGTTTTTTTTGAGAGATTGCTTACCAAAACAAATTATGGCTTATTAATGTTTTTTTTGAGAAATTCCTTACCGAAACAATTCATGGCTTATTAATGTTTTTTTTTGAGAGATTGCTTACCAAAACAAATTATGGCTTATTAATGTTTTTTTTGAGAAATTCCTTACCGAAACAATTCATGGCTTATTAATGTTTTTTTTTGAGAAATTGCTTACCAAAACAACTTATGGCTTATTAATGTTTTTTTTGAGAAATTGCTTACCAGAACAATTTACGGCTTATTAATGTTTTTTTTGAGAGATTGCTTACCAAAACAAATTATGGCTTATTAATGTTTTTTTTGAGAAATTCCTTACCGAAACAATTCATGGCTTATTAATGTTTTTTTTTGAGAAATTGCTTACCAAAACAACTTATGGCTTATTAATGTTTTTTTTGAGAAATTGCTTACCAAAACAAATTATGGCTTATTAATGTTTTTTTTGAGAAATTCCTTACCGAAACAATTCATGGCTTATTAATGTTTTTTTTGAGAGATTGCTTACCAAAACAAATTATGGCTTATTAATGTTTTTTTTGAGAAATTCCTTACCGAAACAATTCATGGCTTATTAATGTTTTTTTTTGAGAAATTGCTTACCAAAACAACTTATGGCTTATTAATGTTTTTTTTGAGAAATTGCTTACCAGAACAATTTACGGCTTATTAATGTTTTTTTTGAGAAATTGCTTACCAAAACAAATTATGGCTTATTAATGTTTTTTTTGAGAAATTGCTTACCAAAACAATTCATAGCTTATTAATGTTTTCTGCAAAAAGCTGATTAGCTATTTTTTCTTGTTCTTGGATCATTGCTTCTTTATGTTTGGCTTCTTCAGCTAATATTTCTCGCTCTTCTTCTAATCTTTTTTTATCTATTAAGTCCTGAAGAAAAATTTATTTGCATATATACTATAATCGCTGATTGGTAAAGTTAAACCATAAAAAAAAAAAAAAAAAAAAAGAAAAAGAACATGTACTTCTAATAAAGAAAAAAACTTTTCTTTAAATACATAAAAATTTTATACCTACAGTGAGTTGATGTTTATTGTAGGCATAGTCAGGGCCACCCAGAACTTTTGTGATACCCAGGTCCAATAGTTTAATGGTTGCCCTATTATACTTCATGTCTTGAAATTATAAATAGCAAATAAATTAGTATAGTTTTTTTGTTTACTTTCATAGAAAACATAAAATCACATTTAATTAATTTTGGTTTGTAAAAATAAACTATGGTAAAATCAAGTCTGATTAGATGAACACATCTTCCAGGCTTTCATAGTGGCAAAATTTGAAATAACTTCTTCATAAAAAACGTTATTAGCTAAATCTGATTCGATTGAAAAGATCATCAAGTAGCAGCTCCAGGCCCATTGTGGAACGAAAATAATGTTTGATGATAGCTAACTTATTGAAAGATCTTTTACATTTAAATGTTAAAATGGGCAATGTTAGAAAGATTCTAAGTGAAATACACATTTGTGGAAATATTGAATGCAGCCCCTTTGCACAAACTTTATTCAGAAATTTGACAGGCTAGAATATTTCTTTGTACAAAAAAAAAATGCCGAACTTCATTAAAAAATTCGTTTTTACATAAGTCTTCTGGGTAAAGTTTAGCCAGATTCTCATCCTTTAAACCTAGTTTATTGTTTGTTTGAGATTTTTGTGAAGACCAAAGAGGAAAAATTGTTACATTCCTTTTCTATTACTTTAAATTTTCTGATTTGATTGTTGAGTGCAACATTAAAGACATTACAATCTAAGTTTTTCGATGCTTTATCATGATTTTAACTAGCAGTTACAATCTACAATCAAATTACATCAGGGAAGACCTTTTTTCGCGTTCTTTTTACAGGAATCATGATTTCATCAAATTTCAAGTTCTTTGTAACTTGTGTTGCCTCTCAGGTCCCAAGTCAAATAGATTCAATCCAGATCCTTCAAAAGACTATTTAGAATTTCTAAGACTATTTCATCATTGAGATTGAGTTGAGTGGAGCAAACATTTAAACCAAAGAGTAGTGAAAACAACAAATTCAAAAGAATTTATTCATTTAATTAGATAATGTACTTCATTACTACTTTCGCCTGGAAGGTTTAACTCTTTTAGATGATCTAATGATTTTAAGATCTCTCTTGACTTTTTTACTCTCTCTCTTTTTACTTTTCACTCTCTTGACTGCTTCAATCCTTGAGCTCCATCTTGTAACAGAAAGTTTATGTAATGATTGGCCTATCTCCTCCTGAAAAATTTTCCAACGAATTGTAGCTGAACAGATTGTATAGCCTTTGAATATTTCCAAATTAGGATTTCTTAGGAGCCGATGATTTAATAGCATGTACTGCACATAAGTTCAAACTGTGAGCAAAGCAAAGAATGAAAATTGCTTGTGGATTATTCTGTTCAACCAAAGCTTGAACTCCATTATAAATATCTGCCATATTAGCACCATTGTTGTAGCCTTGAACACAGCAATTTTTTATGTCAAGCTCATTCTCTTCCTACCCATTTAATATCAACTTTGTTATATCAAATCCCTTCTTCTTTTTAAGTTCTTCTAGCTTAAAGAACCTTTCTTTGACCTCCTGCAGCTGATTATCACTAAAATGCAGAAAACAAAAAACAAAAGTAATTTGCTCAATGTGGGACGAATTAGGATTGCTGTCTGTGATGGTGAAATATAATGATTATTTGATTTCTCAAATAACTTCTCGAACCACTAATTTGCCGCATTCCTTGATAAATTAATTATGTGATTTCCAGGATAAATAATAATCTTGCATGATAAATAATGAGCTTATTAGTGGTAGAGTAAATTATCTTGAGTAAGAAATTAAAAAATTAATTTATGATAAATAAAACATTTAACTTCGTGTTTTTATAGAGTCATGTATATATATATTTTATATAAGCTCATTTTTATCCTCTACAAATTTAGAGGAGATAAAAATGTGCTGATGCAAAAAAAATTTTTATTCTCTCTTTTGGGAAATTTGGCTCCCTGCTTACAACGATTATATTATTAAGACATACAGAACGTAATAATAATAAGCACTGGCTTATAATAAGCCAGTGCTTTCCAACCAGAGAGGTTCAGAAATAGTTATTGAGGCTGGAGATTTTATTATTTAAAATATTTCTTAGTAAACATTACCTTTCAATTTTTTTTATAAATAAAAAGGTTTTAATTAATTTTTGATAAATTTTTTGGTACCATAAGGGCCCTATCTGTCTCCCCCTCTGGGCTCTTTAGTGCCAGTCTGATACTGGATGCCACAAACGAGCAATCTAAAAGGGTTTGTTTGTTTTTGGTTTCCTTTTCTTTCATTATCATCGCTCTTTTTCTCCTAGCAGCTCTAGAGTGGCTCAATTGTGGAGGTCTTTGATTATTCATGCTAAAACATATGTCGATGCAAAGAATGTTAACTTTTTAAATTTTTTAAATTAAAAATTTTATAATTACTTTAGCGTTATTAATCGCAGAACAAAAGTTAGTACTTACAATTAAAATATCCAAATAAAAAAGGAATTTAAAGAGTCGCAGGAAATGCCTTCTTTATCCATTTTTATTCAAAATTATTGACTTTTAAATTATTGATTTTTAGAGGTAAAATGAAGGATCAACCCAAATCGTGGACAAAAATTTTATATTATTACTTTATCTTAGGTTTACTGAAAAAAACTCATGTATTGTCATGTATTGATTCATGTATTGTCTCTATAATATTTGATCAAAGTAAACACTTATAAATAAAATCTTTTCCGATTTTTGAAAAACCTAAATTTTGTATCTAAGGAAATAAAATGTTTTTTAAAACAATTTTTTTAATTAAAACTTCAATATAATGTTATTTATTACCTGGTTTAGGACATATTTAGTTATGGGCATACAAAGGGGACAAGGGCAGATTCTCCCCAAAAGAGAAGTTGCAAAATTTCTCATTGGCCGAAAGAAATCTTTAATTGGTTCATGTAGATGCATAAATTTGAGTTTAATATCAAGTACACTTACATCTTCAGCAATCCATATCACCAAAATTCATCATAAAAACATGCAATATAATCAATTTTTTTAATGTTCAATGAAATTTCTTTATTATTATTTTTTTTTCAGAATAATATCAAATATTTCAGTGTGTATACCCACACTTGTTTTTTTATAACTTATTGTATTTGAGCTTAAATAAATAAATAAAATACACCCTTGTCCCAGGAACTGTTCTACTATTTAAATATCTTTGATGTCTTCTGGCCCTTATCCACACCAAGCTGATCCTGTTTAGATTTTTACACCAATGCTTTGTTAGTCTCTTACGTATTATCTATTAAAAAATCTAAGCTCGGTCAGCATGGCTTCATAGTTACCTTGTAACTTTTAAAATATTAGTATGAGCAAAATCATATATATATATATATATATATATATATATATATATATATATATATATATATATATATATATATATATATATATATATATATATGTGTGTATATATATATATGTGTGTATATATATATGTGTGTATATATATATATATATATATATATATATATATATATATATATATATATATAATATATATATATATATATATATATATATATATATATATATATATATATATATATATATATATATATATATATATATATATATATATATATATATATATATATATATATATATATATATATATATATATATATATGTATATATATATATATATATATATATATATATATATATATATATATATATATATATATATATATATATATATATATATATATATATATATATATATATATATGTATATATATATATATACATTAGTTATTTGAAATTTCAAAAACATAAAAAAAATGTTGTAATTTTATGTTAAATAATAAAAAATAGTTTTTATATTATACACTTGTATTATATTTTTTATATTATATCACTTATACTATACTTTTTATATTGTACACTATTGGTAGTTTTTATATTGTACACTATTGGTAGTTTTTTTTATGTTTTTTTAATGATTTTTTAAAAATTGCTTAAATCATGTACCAAATAAAATTCATTAAAATATTGATCTATAGTGCCTTGTATTAATTAAATATTGTGCAATATATAAAATTGAATCAACGCTTATAAATTATTATAAATGATAATGGGATATCATTTATATTTAGTTCATTTTCATCTTCATGAAAAACCTCTACAAATAAACAAAATGGATGATATAATAACTTTGCAGTAGAATCATTTTCGGAGAAGAATCAATTTTTTCAAATACTTTCCACAACTCAGATAAAATATGGTACTAGCAATGTGACAACAACAACCACACGTTCTTAAACCAGAAAAACACCCACATGCTTAAGACAATAATGATTCTGAACTATCGATGTATGGTAAATATTTAATAAATAGTTCATACTTAGTAGCATTTGAATGCCTTCACTGAATTTCACCGGAAATCTAATGTTCTGCTAGGATATTTTTACTTTATCTGATAACTATCAAATGTGATGTATTTTCGCATATCCTCTATACAAAACTTCAGAAAATCATTTATATATAATGCATCAATTGGTTCAAAATGCTTTTTACTTTTGCTTTTTGTATACAAATTGTATGATTCTGATTCATTTAATTTTAAATTAAATTAATTTTATTTATCATTAGAATTGCAATATTTTACTGTCATTTTTTATCGGATATATATTTTAAATGAAAACAGTCAGTCGAAGAAGCAGCTAATATTATATCAGTCATTATATTAAGAAGCATTGTATTCTTTATTTGTTCCAAAGAATCAAAATATTGTTTAATATCCCATCTGCATTTTGTAACAAATATCCCATCTGCATTTTGTAACAAATATCCCATCTG